AAAATCAGACTTACTAAATTCTTATTTAACAATGACATAACAATGAAATTAACAAATAACTTTAAAAATTACACGTCGTATGTTTAAACATCAGGTGTTCTTGTACATGGGCCAAGCAGACTATTGAGTCTAATGGACTATGACACTCATATGCTGATTTCCTGTTTTTATCCTCAATGACGTATCAAATGTTTCGAGATCAGGTTTTCTTGTACATGGACTATGGCACTCATATGCTGATTTCCTGTTTCTTATCCTCAATGACGTATCAAATGTTTAAACATCAGGTTTTCTTGTTCATGCATCAAGCAGACTATTTAGTCTAATGGACTATGACACTCATATGCTGATTTCCTGTTTCTTTCCTATCCTCAATAAGATATCATATGTTCAGACGTCAAGTAAACATTTCCTGCTGACCATTAGATGTCAAACTGTAGATACTTACAAGGATATCATAAACTTGCTATGATAATAACAAATAAGTAACAAAAACAAGTAAATCTTACCTCGTAATCGAAGGAGAATGTTAAGAAGGCGAGGATATTGGCGTGGGTGGTTTGCTATCGACTGGTAACAGACGAACCCCCAACGTGCGCGTTCACGTTCCTGTCCCTTTTAAAGCTTTTTTGATTACCCTCTTACTTTGGAGATTTGTAAGAGTATTTTGTAAACTGCAACCAATGATAATTACGTATACGTGTAGGATGCATTCCTGGGTTCATTCAAACCTGGATTTTATAACCTCACACAACACTTAAAAAATGTATTCTCCAGAAACACATTCACTGTACTTTTAGATTTTGGATCCGCTTCAGTCTTTCCTTTCAGGTCATAACTGAAAGCTGTTATTCCCTCCGCCATGAATATGTTTTCCTGCAGTGCATTTTAATTTCAATGGGACGTCATTTCCAATTTCCTTTCTTCGTTCCCTCCGGTTTCTGCAAAAAACGAAAACCTCAAATTATCCAGTCTCAATACCCTTGAACTAGAATTACCATGATCACACATTCGGGTCGTGAGAACTTGTCTATGTGATCCACGAGTTGTATAACAGTGTGGTGGTTTTTTACGACAGCAGTAGAGACTCACCCATATCTTTGACACATGTCAAATCTCTACATGACAGAACTATGCGATTAGACAGCTAGCAAATAAAATTTACACGCCACCAATTCTCCAGGAATGAATGTCCAAATACTCGAAATAGCACACTGAAGGACGCGGCAATTCAAATGGCATAGTTTGGGAAGCTTTGTTATTTTGTATGGTGATCCTTTATAAGAATAACGTCTCGTACACGTTTCGGCAGTGTCCAATACAAGTCTCTACAATATCATATTCCCCAGGGTGTTTTCCCCATATACGTTAATTCCATGTAAGGTTCCTTAGTTGCAACGTAGGTTATATTTGGGATTACGGTTTCTCAGTCCAGGGTGTCGTTGTACAAAGCGATCTTAGCGCTAAGGTGATCGTAACTCCCATACCATAACATAGACTTACGACTGGCGTAGCGCTAAAGTTGTTTTGTACAACCTCACCCAGATTGGATTACCTTTGTCATGTTGAATCCAGTCCGGTAGTCGAACCCTCACTCTCACGGTCAGACACCTAATCGCCAGCAAAGTCAGCGATCTAACCTGCTTAGCCGCCGTGGCTTTCGTAGGTGTGTTGATGCAATGAGCCAGGGCTTGAAACTATCTCGTAATATTTAACGTGAGATTTCCTATGATATTGAGACAAGGAGACTGGGGCCCATTCTGCGCCAATAAGTGCATTTTCCTTCTATTTAGCAATTTTGGCCCAATGTAAGGGAGTATTTGTGAAATGACGACCCCAGACATACTAAATGGGATCGGTTTCCTCCATCGCCATTTCTCCACGCATACACACGTTTGTCACCTCCAGTAATAGCCTGGTTCTACTGATTATCAACTGTGAAACCCCTCCGTTCTCGACACAACATTCTGAGTTTTGTAAGTCTTTGAAATTTAATTTTCTTCTGACAGTTCTCTCACTGAATTTTCGGATTATATTTCATTGAATTTGTTTGTAATATGCAATGTTGCTCGACGACTGAGCTGTGAACAAGGTTTCTCGTCCACTTCGCTGTTTGTTTTCTGATGATCCAACCGCTTGATCTTGTAACTACACATGTTGCAGTAGACCAAGATTTGTCCAACAGCTGAGCAATTTCTGACTGTTGCTATCTTCTTTATAATCAGCTCTTTTGTGTCATTTGTCAATTCACTCTATTTACGAAATGTCGGCGAAGAGAACTCCTACGGCTGAAGTAGTCAGTGAGTGAGTTTAGTTTTACGCCGCTTTAGCAATGTTCCTGCAATATCACGGCGGAGGACACCAGAAATGGGCTTCACACATTGTACCCATGTGGGAAATCGAACCCGGGTCTTGAGCGTGACGAGCGAACACTTTGACCACTAGGCTACCCCACCGCCCCTACGGCTGAGTAATAAAACAGACGATATGTTTTATACATGTCACCTGACAGGCATACGACAGGGAATCTATAAAAAATATATGCGGTGGTTAAACCCTGGTTTGTCTCGCAGCGCGAATCTAATGGTGCACATGTTTCAACGATGATAACGATTATGAATACCAAAAAAAACAAACAACCTGAGCACATATGTAGGGCTGCGCAATATAACCGGTTTACCGGTATTTACCGGTTTAGACAAGAAAACGATACGTATTGCGATACGCTGATCGAAAACCGGTATTTTGGCTTGCATTCAGAAAACTTCGCAACGCTCGGAAATCTTGTTTCATTTGTGCCAAATATTATTTACATTTATATTTGGCCATGATTAAAAGTTTCTAATAAAGTTTAATCAAGCATTGTGATTTGTTGTGTTCATGCTATATAAATCAAGCATTAACACGACTATACGATGTTTTAAAATACTTCTTGCAATATATTGCAATACATATTGAAATATATGCTTTCGCATCGCAATATATCGCAATATGAAAATTCTCTGCAATACCCATCCCTACACATATGGCCAGGCTCATAGATCTACATTAATATAAGACACGTCAGAAGATCAGGTACCTCTATAGGTCTTACTTGCGAAGAACATCAGTGACACATGCCCACAACGAGAATAATTTTGTTTTGAAAATACAAAAACCAAACTGTGAGTACTTATGGCCAGGCTCATAGATTTACATTATTATAAGGCAGGTCAGAAGATCAGGTGCTTCTCGAGGTCTTACTTGCGGAGTACCTCAGTGAAGCATGTTCACAGATCTACATTATTATGAAGCAGGTCACAAGATCAGGTGCTTCTCGAGGTCTTACTTGCGGAGCACCTCAGTGAAGCATGTTCACAGATCTACGTTATTATGAAGCAGGTCACAAGATCAGGTGCTTCTCGATCGCGAGGTCTTTTCAGCGAAGTACCTGTGAAACATAATGACAGTTCTACATAATTATGACGTACTTTTCAAGGTCTTACTTGTGTAGAACATTAGACAAGCAAGCTCACATCTATAATACAATGTAGCACGTCAGAAGATCAGATACTTCTCGAGGTCTTACTTGCGAAGAACATTAGTGAAGCATGTTAATACCTCTACATTATTATGAAGCACGTCAGAAGATCAGGTAACTTTCAACGTCTTACTTCCGAAGTGCATTAGTGACGCATGTTCACAGATCTAACTTATTATGAAGCACGTCAGAGGTCTTACTTCTCGAGGTCTTACGTGCAAAGTACCTCAGTGAAGCATGTTCATAGCTCTACATTATCATGAAGCAGGTCAGAAGATCAGGTACCTCTCGATGTCTTCCTCGCGAATTACATCAGTGATACATGACAACAACTCTATATTACCATGAAGTACGTCAGATGATCGGATACTTCTCGAAGTCTTCCTTGCGAAGTACCTCAGTGAAGCATGTTCACATATCTACATTACCATGAAGCACGTCAGAAGATCGGATACTTCTCGAGGCCTTACGTGCGATGTACCTCAGCTAAGCATGATCGCAGTTCTATCATGAAACACATCAGAAGATCAGATTCTTTTCAACGTCTTACATTAGTGACGCATGTTCACAGATTTACATTATTATTTCCTGGGTCAGAAGATCATTCATCTTCGCCGGTCTTATTTTATGAAGTTTCTCGGAGCCTCATGCTCAAGCGCCACATTATTTTTTCCTGATCACTGATGCATGCGCACCGGGTTAGTGAATCAAGCATCTGTCGGAGGAATTACATCACAAAGTACCTCAGTGATGGATGATCACAGTTCTACATTATTATTAACCGGGTCAGCATGTCCGACATCTTCTCGAGGTCACACCTGACGATGTACATACACATCTGACGCTAAGCGTGTCAGCGATCTCTTTGTCTACTTCTTCGCGTGCATCACCTGACTTGTTCACCTTGATAATAGTTACGAAAATACTAGGAAAATCTGCCCACGGCAACTGCAAATCATGTCATCGATCTAGACTTATCCAGCAGTCGGCACTTTGTGTATGATTCAGGTGTTCGTGATTTGGACAGGAATATGCAAAGAGTCTTTACTCCAGCCATAATATATATCCACAACTCCAGCCTTGATCCGTCTTGATATTGATAAGTTAACTTCGGTTATAACGAGCTCACTCTGGTGTTATCCGTCTTGCTATTGATAAGTAAACTACAGTTATAACGAGTTCACTCAAGTGTTATCCGTCTTCTATTGGTAAGTAAACTACGGTTATAACGAGCTCACTCTGGTGTTATCCGTCTTGATATTGATACGTAAACTACGTTATAACTCACTCACTCTGGTGTTATCCTTCTTGGTTATAACGAACTCAAAGGGACCATACGTCATAACGATTGTTCATTAAATGCACTTCGAATAAACCATTCATGAAATGGCTTGGACAAATCTAGTTGGTTACATGCGTGTTGCTTATAAATGTACTTTACTGTATTGCTAAAAGCGGTGTAAACATATACCCATTTCAGTACGTGTCGAGTCCGCTGTGTTGTCCCAGTCGCTCCAGCATCCTGACCGGCAAGTACGTCCACAACCACCACGGCATCAACAACTCCGTCACCGGCGGCTGCAGCAGCCCTGAATGGCAGCTGGAGAATGAGGGGTCGGCGTTCCCGGTGTATCTAAAGAAGCAGGGTTACAACACCTTCTTTGCAGGCAAATACCTTAATCAGGTAATTGAACGGAATTGTTGTAACTTCACTGCACACAGAGTTCATTCAAAGTTAATTTGAGGGTAAAAGTCAATATTTACTAAACGAATTTGTAAATACGTCAGTTTAAAATCTGATTTCAAAAGCGCACTTACAGGTTTTGAATTAAGTGTTTGCAGAGTCCAAACACAAAAACGGCAAGTTGTAAGCAAATGGGAATGAAAGGCTTGAAAGAACTTGCTTCAGGGATGTGCTTTGGATGGATGAGCTCGTCAGTTCTACTCTCTGACAGAGCGTGTGATGTGAGACCCATTATATAACCGAGTAGTCTAATGCATTTCATCATATGACCGAGTTGTCTGTTTTTCTTTGTAATGGTGGAATGCGTCTGTGTTTCATTATATCACGATGTGTCTATGTGTTTCATTTTATGATGGAGTACATCAGCGTTAAAATTGTATATCGGAGTACGACTTTGTTTCATTGCATGACTGAGTATGTATTTTTTCAGTATACGATGCACTACGTCTTTGTTTCATTGTATGAATGAGTACGTATGTTTTTTCAGTATACGATGCAGTACGTCTTTGTTTCATTGTATGAATGAGTACGTATGTGTTTTCAGTATACGACGCAGTACGTCTTTGTTTCATTGTATGACTGAGTACGTATGTTTTCGGTATAAGGTGCAGTACGTCATTGTTTTATTGCATGGCTGACTACGTATGTTTTTCAGCATACGATGCAGTACGTCATTGTTTTATTTTACGAATGAGTACTTATGTTTTTCAGTATACGATGCACTACGTCTTTGATTTATTGTATGACTGAGTACGTATGTTTTTCAGTGTACGGTGCACTACGTCTTTGTTTCATTGTATGACTGACTACGTATGTTTTTCAGTATACGACGCAGTACGTCTTTGTTTCATTGTATGAATGAGTACTTATGTTTTTCAGCATACGATGCAGTACGTCTTTGTTTTATTGTAAGAATGAGTATGTATGTTTTTCAGCATAAGGTGGAGTACGTCTTTGTTTCATGGTATGACTGAGTACGTATGTTTTTCAGTATAAGGTGCAGTACGTCTTTGTTTCATTGTATGTCTGAGTACGTATGTTTTTCAGTATAAGGTGCAGAACGTCTTTGTTTGATTGTATGAATGAGTACGTATGTTTTTCAGCATACGATGCAGAACGTCTTTGTTTTATTGTGTGACTGAGTACGTATGTTTTTCAGTGTACGGTGCAATCCGTCTTTGTTTCATTGTATGACTGAGTACGTATGTTTTTCAGTACAGTACGTCTTTGTTTTGTTTTATGACTGAGTACATATGTTGTTTAGCATACGATGCAGTACGTCTTTGTTCTATTGTGACTGACTGAGTGCAGTACGTCTATGTTTCATTGTAATAATGAATACGTATTTCAGTATACCATGCAGTATGTCTGTGTTTCATCTTATGACGAAGTACATTCATTTGAAGAAGTACTTCTCCGTTTCATTAGATGGCGTACTAATAAATACAATGTGTTTCAGTACGGCTTCCCGCAGACTGGCGGGGTGGAGCACATACCCCCGGGCTGGGACTGGTGGATAGGCCTGGTAGGTGCATGACCCTTACCGTAGGGGAGGGGTTGCGAGGAGGTGATGCCCAAGTGAGAGACACAATTTATTTTGGGCAATGCTTCGCAACGTACTACTGAAAGTGAAGCAAACCCTCCCTACCAACAAGATTGTATCAGATTATCGAATGAAAATATCCTCCAACAGAACCAGAAATCTACCCCAGAATATCGATGGCTGATCCAAAAATGATTTCTACGGACACGGGAGGATATTAGGTATATGCAGGGCTGCTCACTACCGGTAGTTATGAGTTCGAATTCCACGACTCTAAACCAATCCCAATAATGCTCTTGTGATTTTACGACAAACCTTTCGCTTCTATACACCACGCTTTAGTGTCAACATCCTTCTTGTCACCAGGTTGGCAATTCCGTCTACTACAACTACACCCTCTCCATCAACGGCACCGCCGAGGACCACGGCGATGACTACGGGAGAGACTACTTGACAGATGTCATTGTGAGTAACATATATGCTTGGCTATGCTCTAAGGACGCGACACTGAGTAAAACGTATGCTGAGCTATGCTCACCTGGACGTCACCGAGATGCATGTAGGTTGGGTTATGCTCTACAGACCTCACAACGAGTAACACGTGTGCTTACTTGCTTTGAACGGACGTCACAACCAGCGTTCCACGAACGTCACTGAGAAACACGTGTGCTTTGAACGGACGTCACAACCAGCGTTCCAATAACGTCACTGAGAAACACGTGTGCTTTGAACGGACGTCACAACCAGCGTTTGAAGAACGTCATTGAGTAACACGTGTGCTTTGAACGGACGTCACAACCAGCGTTCCAATAACGTCATTGAGTAAAATGTACTCGTGGCTAAGCTCCACATGTGCTTACCTGCGTTTCACGGACGTCACAAGGTAACACATAAGCGTAGAACTTTGTCAAAGTGAAAAATACATATCGTTACCACTGTACACGGTTTTGAATGCTGCTAGATGGCGTGCAGGCGTTGCAACGGGGCGTATTGAAAAGCCTACAGTCACGTTTTGATTGCTGCTACATTTACACACATCGCCCGATATTGACAGACATATTCCTCCTACCTGTAAAAAGCAGCTACGTACGCTGAGTGAAAACAACTTCCCTTTGAGACCCGCTTCTTTTCAATTTCATTGCAGCTTCTCTTTAAACATACCTGCTCCGTCCAATATTTATACTTTCTTGTGAACATATGTGACAAAAGAATGTTTCCACACATGTTGAATGATGGCTAAAATGGAACACACAAAGAACGGTTACACGAAGGTGAGGTCTTTGATCCAGGTAACACAGCTTTGTTTTGGACCTTAACATTTCAGCTTAAAGGGTTAGACCGTTTTGATAGCGTTTGAAATTTATGGGTTAAATTCAGTTTTCACGTTTGTAATTTTTCACGTCAGTTAAACTATCAGCTGTGTTCCCTAAACAAAGAAAATAGCAATGCAGTTTATTATTATTATGATTCTATTTATTACTTCAAGGACTAGAATAATTACTTGGACTCTCAGCTGACTCTATTGGAAGGACAACAACAATTTACATGTATCACAGGCATATTGTTCGTGGTAGATAATTTTAGGGACAAAATACTTGCTGATTATTCAATATTCATGTTATTTTACATGAGTGAGTATGGTTTTACGCAATATTCTCAGCAATATTCCAGCAATATCACGGCGGGGACACCAGAAATGTTCTTCACACATTGTACCCATGTGGGAATCGAACCCGGGTGTTCAGCGTGACGAGCGAACGCTTTGGCCACTAGGCTACCGCACCGCCCTAGTTATCTTACGACAACGACATGACCTAAGACATGACGTCATATGATAAAGACTTAATACTAATCTGTACCATTAAGGAAAGATACGTACTGGTACAAAACAAAACGTATCGTGTATCGCATAGTTTCATATAACGATTAAATGGTGAATCTAGTTTAGTGTTGACCAATTTTTCTCAACCCTGAATTCCAAATTGATAAATGTCCGGCTGTCCTCTTTTTTTCACATGATATATTTTTCGTTTATTATATTTGATGGTCAGTGTGAATACACCGAATTAATTGATGTCCATTGTTTGTCAAAATATGCAAGTAAGTACTTATATGTACAGATATATTGTGGAGCTAAGTCGTACAAATATGCCTGGGTGTGTTTCGTGTTATGGAGTACATGGATAATATTTGAGGTAACATGCAATTCTGTCCCCTTCTCTCTGTACTATAGGGTGGTATACTGAATACAAATATTGGATCCTTGATACTCTTGTTTTGTGGACACCGGTTACAGCTGTATAAATGTCCGCTGTCGAGATACGGAACACCTCCCCCACGCCAATCGCACTTGAACATAGACGTCATAAGGGAGCGTCTCCAACGACTGATGTAGGATAACAAACCTTTTACCTCAGATTCAGAATATGACAACGGAACAAGACTAACACCAACGCCAACACCAACAACACCAAACCCATAATTTTCATCACCTAAACCAACATCGACAACATCGCCATCATTTTCATCACTCATTATCACCATCACTATTAATATCACCGACAGTAACGCCAGGATCATCAACATCCTCAACACCAGAACGGACACCATCATGAACATCACTCTCATCATTACCAACACCATCATCATCAACACCTCACCTCATCATCATCATCATCATCATCATCATCAATATCACCAACAGTAACGCCAGGATCATCAACATCCTCAACACCAGTACCAACACCAATAACATCATCACCAACACCAACAATACGACCATTGCCACACCGTTATCATCCCCAACACCACAACCAACACCATCATCAACATCACTCTCACCACCACCAACACCATCATCAACATCACTCTCACCACCACCAACACCATCATCAACATCACTTTCACCACCACCAACACCATCATCAACATCAATCTCACCACCACCAACACCATCATCAACATCACTCTCACCACCACCAACACCATCATCAACATCACTCTCACCACCACCAACACCATCATCAACATCACTCTCACCACCACCAACACCATCATCAACATCACTCTCACCACCACCAACCATCATCACACCATCATCAACATCACTCTCACCACCACCAACACCATCATCAACATCAACATCACTCTCACCACCACCAACACAAATAACCGACATCATCACCAACACCATCATCAACATCAACACCAACACCTACACCTACGCTATCGCCATCACCAACACCATTGCCTACACTATTACCACCACCAACACAGTTTACTTTACCTAAAACATGCTGACAGCCAAACTCCCGATGAAAGATTTCTATCCGACGTGGGGTAAACATATGCACTGTACATGCGCTGTGTAAATACTCGAGACTAGGCAAATTAATCCAGTATATTAATTGATATACCGAGAGACCCGTGAAGGTCTGGGTTAGAATTGGTCTTCAGCAGGTTCACTCTCACTTAGCCATAGTATGACCAAAAAGGTCTTGTTAAGACAGCATTGCATTATGGCTAGGCGAGAGATGTGAGCCAGGTAATTAGCATTAGCCACTGAAGCGTGAGCCTTTGTTCAAGAGCTATAGTCTATTTCTACAATGCGACACAATTTAAGGTGAGGTGAGGTGAAATTGGGTTTAACGTCGTGCTTGAGAATATTTCACTCATATGACGACGTGCATGCGTGTGTATGTGTATGTGCGGCTGCTTGTACTAGTCCAGACTGAAGCTGGTTTTATAGTGCTATAGAGATACCATACCGCAGTGAAGCATGAATACCCCACTCAGACACATTATACTGACTCCGAGCCGACCAGTCCTTGTTGTACCCATTAATGCCGAGCGCCAGGCAGGGACCAACAAGTACCATATTTTAACGTATTTTGGTATGGCGCGGTCGGGGATCGAACCCGCGACCTTCCGCTCTCCGTGCGGACGCTCTAACCACTACACCACGGAAGCGGTCCACAATTTAAGATGTATGCAAGTGTGTGTGTGCGTTTGTTTGTAATATGATTATTCGGTTTAAACATATTTATTTCTGATATATTTTTCAGAAACTGGATCGGCAAACAAGCAAAAAGCTTATGTTAATGCCTGTCCAGACAATATAACATTTATGCAACTTTTATTTCATAACATTATTACAAAAGGACATGATATCATAAACAACATTAAGCATACAATATACATGAATATAAACATCCATACAGCAAAAATGAAGTATTACAATATGATGTAATCTAATTCTTGAATTCACTTGGTGACTGTATAAGTCTTTCTTCTTCAAGCAAAGAATCCCAAAGTTCAATAGTACTGGGTAAAAAATGAATTAGCAGTTTAGTGATAGTTAATTTCTTATTTATTATGACTTGTTCCCCTTGTAGCCCCACATTTTGTTCTAAGTGCATCAAGCTGTATTTTTTCAAGCATTGATGCCGGGCTAACTGTACAGTTATCCCACATACATCAAATAATGGCAAAATATAGGATTTATACATAACGAATAGTGTTTTCATGATAATCGGTATTGGTAACTCCTTAAACAATGTATCATTAGTGAAACTTTGTGAAGTACAGAATTTATCTGTGCAGTCCAATTTGCGTCTTTTTGCACCCAGATTTGAGGAAATGCTCAGTTAGTGACATCAGCTTGAAACCGTCCCTCCTTGTCCCTGACTTGTCTTTCCGCTGGTCTGTCCGCGCTCTTCCCGCTGTCTGCCGGCTCTCCCTTTGCTTGCCTATGCTGCCGGCTTTTTAAAGGCAGATGGACGACTAACAATCTGATTAGCTCGGCAGTTCTCACGGACATAATCTGCTTAGCTGGTCATTTTATGACGCGCAAGACACATCTCTGACAAGTATACACGACAAATAGTGTTCCACACGAAGTTATCCTTATTTTCAGCATAGAAGAGGCCAGGAGTTTCTGGGCATACAATCACAAGACAGACCCACCCCCTTCTTCATGATGCTCTCCACCCCAGCCTGCCACGACCCCTTCACCCCTGCCCCACAGTACAACAGCACCTTCAGTGACGCCAGGGCACCGAGAGGCGGCTCATTCAACCTTCACGCGAAGGTGATGACTTATCCTTTTTAATCATTTCACCCGCGCGACGAGGCGATGTTAGCCCTGTGCTTATCTTTACTCCAGTTCTTTAATACAGGCTTACTGCTGAGATCGCTTTGTGAAACTGGATCCAAATGTGCTTTGGTTAAATGATACAAAAAGGCTTCTAATTGGAATAGAATATGTTATGCAACGTTTGATAAAGATACTGACACGTGGAGACTGTTTGGACAATATACTGACAACTTTCATCGCTTAAGAATATTCTTAAGGGAATAGATAAACATGTGAAAAATTCCATTTATGAAATATAAACAATTAATGTCATGCACACCTCTGTTTAAATAGATCATTAATCTTTCACGAAAGTGTTGGAAATGAGGCTAATCCAGTTTTTACGTTGTCAAAGAGTTCAAACCGAAACATGAGTCTCATTAACCAATTCAGACAATGACCTACTTTTCAGCCGATCCAAATTTTCTCGTGTGAAAGTGAAAAGAGACACTACAAACAACTGTGGTTACACTGAATTCCAATTTTCTTGTTTCATAAGAAAATGGTATTTAAACTTAATTTTAATTTCAACTTTTAATAACATCGTATTTCTATATTTTATGGCGAGGTGTAATCAGCATGACCTTAACTAAGACGTCACAGACTGCCCCTGTTTGACGAGGTCGTAAAAGGATTCACAATTCATCTGGATCTCTGGTTACACCTGTTATGTGTTCTTTGCGCTTATTCAGTGTATTTTTGTAACGCACAATGTGATTGATATAATATCAAGTTCGAGATTTCCACGACTTCCGTTTGTCAGAGCAGCTGTACGCGAAGCACGCTGCACAACGTGTTTGCAAGGATTAGAAGGAATGAAGTGTTGCAATATACAAGTGCTTAGATGTATCAAATAATACTGATTAATATTTATGCATCCAGTTGAATGAATTGGTCTCAAAATTCTAGACTGGTTATTGTACTAAGTTCCGCAATAGGGCGGAACCCAGTCAGCAGGAAACGAGACTGTTGTGTAATCAATGTTTGGACTTGTATAATTTGTTTGGTCAAGGGTTTACGTTATTTTGGAATAATTAGAATATCACTGCGAATATATCCGTATCGTAATGAGGATTAGTACATGTCGTTTCAGGACAAACACTGGTTGATTCGACAAGCTATCACCCCGATGCCAAATGACACGATTGAGTACATCGACACAACATTCAGAAACAGGTGGGTACAGGATCTACAGTAAACTAGAACACGTTTAGAACCAATATAACAAATATAAACTACGGATATAACGAACTAACCTTTGGTCTCGACCACTTGATGTGTATTTTGTCCTTATGCGTATAACGAACTGCGGTTATAACGAAGTAAAATTAGTGGCCCCTTTGAGTACGTTATAACCGTAGTCTACCAAATTTGCGATGCCCGCATCAATATTCATGTGTATTGCTTAAATATTTGCGCGGGACATAGGTTCTCAGTCACCAAAGGTACCGGAGTTCCAATACATAAACTGACGTACAAAAGAAAGTACACACCTGGTTTACTTTCCTAAAAGCAACGTAAATATTTTGAAAAAAGGTTTTACAGTGATATATAAGTCACAGACTTTCCTAATATGTTGCCAAAACACCACAGATATCATGCTCAATTGCGACGTTGCCAGTCAAACTCACAACACTTTTCAAATGATCCCAAAACACCAGGTGTGTACTCTCTTTTGTACATCAGTTTTAGTTGCGCCCCTTACGCGCGCCAGAATCTTATACTCTTCAAAATCGAAGGTTCGTCATTTTATTCCCACCCGTGAAGTATATGGAATTGTAAGGATCCGGGTCACACCTAGTTTACAGTAACCCATGTCTGTCGTAAGAGGCGACTAACGGGATCTGGTGGTTAGGCTCGCTGACTTGGTTGAGACACGTCATGATATCTCAATTGCAAAGGTCGGTGCAGATGACTGTCTGGTCCACTCTCGATTATTTACAGACCACCACAATATATTTGGAATGTTGCTGAGTGCGGCGTTACAAACAAAAACAACAATCCCCGAAAATCAAAATGAATTTGTAGATAATTGGCCTCTGGTGATCCCGAGATGTTAGCCAGAGCAATTTGTTGAGCTCCGTTCTTTGGCCACTGGTGTGAGCGGCCTGGTCACTGTCTACCTTCTAAAACACATACCAGTATTAGTATTGATTATTATTTTAAATGGCGTGAAGAACAAAACGTATTTTCGTGTATTTTTATTAGATCTGATTATCAATCTATATACTTTAAGACACATTCAGCCCCTAATATGTTGACTTTACTTTCTTATGTCAAACAAAAAAAATTTAATATCAAACAAAATTCTACAATATTTGTAAATCAGAGATCATGACAGCAGCATTGAATACAAGATATTCTAGTTGTTAAGAGGACTGAACTAGTTTAATTCCCTTTCGTGCAAATCGAAACGATACTATTTTTTATTGATTAATATAAAGAAATTTCTTCCGTTGAACTTATTCTAGACACATCTCGTTCATATCTGTTATGGGGTCATGGTGGGCGAGCTGGCTCAGGCGACAGGCTAGTGATCCAGCGAGCATGAGGTGCCGGGATCAAACCCACCTGTGACCGGGTGTAAAAACCCTGGAGTCAACTTTGTGTGCAGACTCTTTCAGTGTTGTCTCAACCCCAAGCGTACAGTACACAGCCCTGTGCACTTAAAAGAACCCACGAATCCGTTGGTATATGACCAGATGGTGGCCACACGAATATGTGCAAACACACAGTTGCGGGTACAGCAACGTGCAGTAAACTTGGACAAAATACTGTGACTGTGTGTCCCAGTCCACCAGCTGTGAATGGGTACCTCGTAAGGATAGGAAAGCCACATTAACTCGGTGAGCCTAGTGGCTGCAAGAGCTGTATGATCCCCAGGGAGTTGAGATTGACAATAAGATGTGCCGTGGAGATTGACATCCAATGATCGAGGGCATATGTGCTATATAAATATTGCAATAATAATAGATAATAATAATTATGGAAGGCCTCACACTTAACATCTACAAATGTTTCCAAGCAATGGTAATGTTGCAGATGGCGCACTCTGCAGTCAGTGGACGATATGGTGGAGGACGTGGTGAAGACGTTGGACGCCAAGGGGATGCTGGACAACACCTACATCTTCTACTCCTCCGACAACGGCTTCCATCTAGGTAACCATGACAATATATATATATATATATGTGTGTGTGTGTGTGTGTGTGTGTGTGTGTGTGTATATATATATATATATATATATATATATACAACATATTGAAGTAAGTCAGATGTTGATCTCGAGAGGCGTTATGTGTGATATACCGCGTGTGTGACACTCTGTACCGCGTGTGTACAACGTGAAGTCTTTACGTCTCAAAATGATTTTCAAACCTTGCTTAAATACTACAACACAAAAGCATTTGTTACATGGATATATATATAACATAATATATATAACTACTACTATATACTACAATGGCTACAACAACATACCACGACAACAACAACAACAACAACAAACAAATTCATCACCGATCACACCAACAACTACCACCACAAACACTGCCTGTAGTTAATGTCCAGAACTACGACTTCCTCAGCCACAGCTACTCCATCTACAAATATTAGGTCTCGAAACAGAGAGTCACGTTTTCCTTATATAAAGGCAGGTTTCAAGGTTGTCCTTCATTTTAAGAGTTCAAATGCACAAGAACTCTCGTATGCTCTCCTTTGTCAACACAAATAATGCTAGTGTCATCGTCGGGCGTGAGACACGACTTTTGTTGGAAATCCAGCTCAGAATATCTTGTGCGTATCAGAAGCAGGTGTAAAGTACGATTAATATTAAACAATCCATTACAATAAAAAGCGTTCATTCGATGTCAATAGTGCCGTAGTTACACTGCATGTCCACGAAAACCATTCACATCGACATACTTGAGCACCATAGAGAGGCAACACTATTTATACCTTGCCACTTGTTCAAGATATTTGTGTGGGGGTCTTGTGATTGATAAAGGAGACTGCGATGTATATCACGGTATGCAACCATGCAGGCTATAGAATGATACAGCAAATTTGGTAAACCCTGGGCTACATTGCTTTAGAGACGACCCTCGTATTCCTATTCAAGACACGGCATGATTTATTTCGAGGAAAATTCGAACGACGCCCTATCAGAGGAAGGATGAACAGGCGTTTTTTCACAGTCCTCCGGATTGACCGTTTATAACCATCTTGATAATTTGTGAGATATAGGTGCCAGCATCGGCAGCGAAACGCATTGCAAGAATGAAGAATTCGAAATCCAAACGTCAACATTTATGTCAACATATAAATGCGTATCCATGGTGATGTGTACATATATAATTATCAATGAAAACATCATATATTATGTATGTATAGTATGACCAGAAATTATTGAGAATTTTAGGAATATGTTTAATTGGATTTCTAATATAAACAACGTTGACCAGCTATCAAGTGCTTGGTTTCATTCAAGAGAGACAGCTCCGTTAATCCTTTTTCATTAGTTTGTGAAGAGTTATCAGCCTTTGTTTACTTGCTAGCAGACGACAATTTCAGTGATCCTCAGTAGGGATGATTTAGAGAAGAGGAAGTTGATTTTAGAGTATTATAACAAGGACTTCAGATCAGCTAAAGTGATTTCAAGTAGAACAGGCATCCCTTTGTCCACTGTTTATCGTGTTTTGAAAAATATTGCAAATGGATATGGCATTGAGCACCAGGGAGGCGCAGGTAGCCCCAGAAAATTGACTGTCGGTGACAGGAGGCGGCTTGGTATTTTTGTTTCTAAAAACAAACGAAGGAGTTTAGAAAACTTAAGGCTGGATATGATTGATAGAGGAACTGTGGCTGTCTGTAAGGAGACAATTAGAACTGAGCTGCATACAATGGGTTGGCAGAAAAGTCGAGGAATTCCATCACCGATCATGAAACCTGAACAAATGGAGCGAAGGTTGAACTGGTGCTTACAGCATAGAAATTTTAACTGGGACAATGTGATTTTCTCAGATGAAAGCGTGTGTGGCTGTTTCCTAATACACTGAAATTCTGGACCAAACTAACTGAAAAACCTTTGTATCAGCGCCCAAAGTACAGTCCGAAATTTAACGTGTGGGGTGACATATCTGTGTTAGGGCAACGCCCCTCTGTGTATTTGAAGGGAATAGGACCAGTGAGCGGTACACATATATTCTCGAGGGACATTTACTTCCATCTGCTCACGTGTTCTATGGAAATTTTTGGATTTTCCAGCAGGACAACGACCCAAAACATCGTTCAAAGCATTCACAGGCCTGGTTTCGGACCCAAAATATGACATTATTAGATTGGCCAAGCTATAGCCAAGACCTAAATCCAAAAGAAAATGTTTGGGGACTTATGAAGGAAAGTGTCAATAAGAAAAATCTGACAATATTGCTGAAATGAAAGAAGAGAGGGTCCGATATTGGGACAGCATTGACCAAGACTTTCTAACTTCTTTGATCAGTAGTATGCCCCGCCTCATAGAAGCCTGCATTGCTGCCCATGGTGACTTAATTGATTTCTGCCCTGTCTTTGAATCTGGAGTTATGTTCTGCTAATATTTACATTTAATACGTGAGTAATGAGTGAAAAAAATAAAATAATTTACAATCTTTAAATTCTCAATAATTTCTGGTTGTACTGTACATCCATGAGAATATATAGGTGAGTGGAGTCAAGGGCGTGTATAACTTTCCGTGACTACCTATTGCTATCCGGCAAATGATGAAAGGGCATATGCGACATGCCGGCTTATTACATTTGCGAAGAGGGTAGGGTGAATAGGTAAACGTGCTCGTTCGTGACGCTGCCGTCCAGGGTTCAATACCCACAGGGTTAGATTGATGGTGTCCCTCATCTGCTGTTGCTTATCGCTAAAGCGGTGTTAAGTCCCAACCGTTACTTTTTATAAGGTTTGCGTTATTTCATAATGGCTCAAGGGTCGTGGGGTAGCCTAGTAGTTAAAGCGTTCGCTCGTCGCGCCAAAGACCCGGGTTCGATTCTCCACATGGGTACGATGTGTAAAGTCCATTTCTGGTGTACAGTCATTGGACATAAGTATTCGTCACTGTGCATTATGTCCACAGACTTACATGTTAATTTGGTGCAGCTAGAAAAAAAATTCTAGAATTTATTTTTCGGTTGTTCTTGTTCATCTACTCATGCCAATAATGGTTGTCACCCCCAAACAAACAAACAGACACGAAGCACCCTACTGGGGTCATGGTGCACACACGGACACCCTCAACAACAACCAAACAGACACGAAGCACCCTACTGGGGTCATGGAGTACACACGGACACCCTCAACAACAACCAAACAGACACGAAGCACCCTACTGGGGTCATGGTGCACACACGGACACCCTCAACAACAAACAAACAGACACGAAGCACCCTACTGGGGTCATGGAGTACACACGGACACCCTCAACAACAAACAAACAGACACGAAGCACCCTACTGGGGTCATGGAGTACACACGGACACCCTCAACAACAACCAAACAGACACGAAGCACCCTACTGGAGTCATGGAGTACACACGGACACCCTCAACAACAACCAAACAGACACGAAGCACCCTACTGGGGTCATGGAGTACACACGGACACCCTCAACAACAACCAAACAGACACGAAGCACCCTACTGGGGTCATGGAGTACACACGGACACCCTCAACAACAACCAAACAGACACGAAGCACCCTACTGGGGTCATGGAGTACACACGGACACCTTCAACAACAAACAAACAGACACGAAGCACCCTACTGGGGTCATGGAGTACACACGGACACTTCAACAACAACCAAACAGACACGAAGCACCCTACTGGGGTCATGGTGCACACACGGACACCCTCAACAACAAACAAACAGACACAAAGCACCCTACTGGGGTCATGGAGTACACACGGACACCCTCAACAACAACCAAACAGACACGAAGCACCCTACTGGGGTCATGGAGTACACACACGGACACCCTCAACAACAACCAAACAGACACGAAGCACCCTACTGGAGTCATGGAGTACACACGGACACCCTCAACAACAACCAAACAGACACGAAACACCCTACTGGGGTCATGGAGTACACACGGACACCTTCAACAACAAACAAACAGACACGAAGCACCCTACTGGGGTCATGGTGCACACACGGACACCCTCAACAACAAACAAACAGACACGAAGCACCCTACTGGGGTCATGGTGCACACACGGACACCCTCAACAAACAAACAGACACGAAGCACCCTACTGGGGTCATGGAGTACACACGGACACCCTCAACAACAACCAAACAGACACGAAGCACCCTACTGGTGTCATGGTGCACACACGGACACCCTCAACAACAACCAAACAGACAGGAAGCACCCTACTGGGGTCATGGAGTACACACTGTCACCTTCAACAACAAACAAACAGACACGAAGCACCCTACTGGGGTCAGATATGGATAGTCAGACATACAGACAAATATGGACATTTTGCCACAACAACCTGTTACCATGACACAGGTCATCTCTGTCTTTTATCATAGATTTACATAGAGTTACATCAGTGAAGATGGGACCCGATATCTAAGTATAAGTATTCGTCACTGTGCATAATGTCCATAGACTTACATGTTAATTTGGTGCAGCTAGAAAAAAAATTCTAGAATTTATTTTTCAGTTGTTCTTGTTCATCTACTCATGCCAATAATGGTTGTTACCCCTCTCCCCACCCCACCCCCATCCCATACCCCGCTCCAATTAAAAAAATTGAAGGGGGTGACAACCATGATTGGCATGAGTATATTTTGCACATGTGTAATTAATCGTCTCAGCTGCCAAGCCATAATTTCCGTATTATTTTCCATTCAGTATTTCAAGAATGACCACACTTTGATTGATGCGTGTCATGACTATGACAATTTTTAACATGGCGGTCTATGGAGAAAGAATACACAATGTTGTATATATGTTGCTCATGTAACTACAATGCGGAAATACTTGAAGGAAAATTACATGGAAATTATGTATCTGTGACCAAGATTAATAAAAAGTATGACAGTTGCACTAAAATACTATCCAAGTCTATGAGAATTTTGCCGACTGACGAATACTTATGTCCCATGACTGTATATTGCAAAAAGTGGGGTAAAACTAAACTTACTTATTCGTAATGCCCAATACACTTTTCATACTTGAGTTTCTTCAACAGGACAGTTCTCTATGCCGTACGACAAACGCCAGGCTTACGAGTTCGACGTCAAAGTCCCACTGATGGTCCGAGGACCTGGAATCGCCAAGGACGTCATAATTTCCGTGGGTCTTCTTTCGTTCCACACACATTTCAATTTTTATGTGTTCCCTTTATCTTCCATTTAATTCGTACAAACGTAGTTTGGTAATACAGTTTCATACAGTATTTTTGTATTGAGAAAATATTGCAGGTTTTATATCCCTACCCTCTCACAATCACTTGGATCCCCTAACGGGATCAGGTGGTCAGACTCGCTGACTTGGTTGACACATGTTATCGTATTCCAGTTGTGTAGATCGACATTCATGCTGTTAGTAACCGGATTGTCAGGTTCAGATTCGATTATTTACAGACCGCTGCCATATACATGTAGCTGGAAAAAAGCTGAGTACGGCGTTAAACACTAGGTCATCAGACCTCCCAGTCTTGAATAATCATACGAATATTGATGAATTAATTCATTTTCCTTCACATAGGATTCAGTTCTAAACATCGACCTAGGCCCAACATTTATCGAGCTGGCCGGTGCCACGCCCCCGAATTCTACAGATGGTATGTCCCTGCTGCCAATCCTCCACGGCACCAAGGACCCCAGCGTCCCATTTCGAGTCCAGTTCCTGACAGAGCATTCCGGGGTGGGGGCGGACTCTGTACCCGGGTGTCCTCAGTACCAAGGCCAGGGACTGATGGTTTGTGGATAGACACCATTTATTAGCTGATGTAGAAAAAGCGAAATTCTACTATGATGTACACGAATCCTTCGTTCGTTTCAGCCCGTGAACATTCCCCGTGAAGGTCCGGGTTAGAATTGTTCTTCAGCAATCCATGCATGTCGTAAGAGGCGACTAACGGGATCGGGTGGTCAGGTTGACTTGGTTGACACATGTTATCGTATCCCTATTGCGTTGATCGATGCTCATAATATTGATCACTGGTCCGCCACCATATAGTGCTGAGGGCGGCGTTAAACAACAACAAACCAAACCAAGCAAACCGTGAACATCCGAGTTTGAATTGGTCTTCAGGAATCCATGCTGGTCGTAGGATACGACTATCAGGATAAGGTGGTCAGGCTCGCCGACTTGGTTGACACATGTTATCATGTTTACAGACAATATTATACACTTGGAACATTTGTTACACACTGAATGGCATTGCCACATAACATCACATTCATCGCGTGTCACAGTAGTGGAGGCTAAGCAGATAAAATGTGCATTTAATGATAAAATCATGAAACTGTGTATATTTATAGACCGATGCATAGTGAACATTTTAGGATATGGAGGCACTCAAAATAATTTAATAATTTTGCGCATGCGCAGTAGATAAATGATATTTTGCCTTTTCTGGCTACTGTTATAGCTTTGGGCCTGCCATCAATACACTACTGGAACGGCGTTTTTAAAAACACTGACCTAAAATACTTGTTAAACGTTTTGAAAACATAACTGAGTCAATGTTATGAACACTGGCTCTTGCACCAGAACATGTAAGTGAGGACTGTTTGCTCTTACATCGGTTGTTACACCCCTTTGTACAGACCAGATACCAACTCCTGACAAGGTTTTGATGCTTGGTGTAGTGTCGTCCAGTAGGGAACATACTGTCCACTTTCCTTCTGTATCCAGCACCACTCAGTTGGAGATGGGAGTTCAGGCTGTGGAAGAAGTGACTGACCCTATATATGACATGCCTGGTGAACTGCCCTTTTGACATGCTGTACTACAGCTGCATGAATTGAGTTTTTCTTCGCAAATAATCTCAAATAAACATTATTGAACATAAAAAGAAAAAATATGACCAAAGCATCCCTTCATGATGGTAGGGATGGAGCAATTGCCATGTAGTCATCTTACTTCGTGTGGGCTGGAAGCTGAGGGAGGTTCTAAGCCTTCATCTCTGTATGCTCAAACTATCACCGATCTCATCCAGAAGGATATATTTGTTTTGGATACTTCTGCTGTGACATCTCTCATGAGCGGGATGAAGAGTCGTCTTAACTTCTGACGTCTGGCACTCGTTCTATGTATATAGATGAGTAAGGCTCTGACCAGACGCAGTGATAAGTCAACCTTATCTTCTTTGCCAAGTATTGAAGATAATGGTGGGATGTGAAAATGTCGGTCTGGCTGATTTTTGGCAATAAAATCCAAACGGGGACCAAGATGCACTGATGCATTGGGACCTTTATCAAATCTGGCGAGGCTGTAAGAGTTTGACCGTTTGAGTCTTGTCTTTTGGCGTAATGTATAAGAACATAGGTTTTTACTTTTTGATGACCCTTTAGAGTTCAGAATAATCAGAAGTATTTAACAGTCCGCCGAAGTGTCAAATGTCACACAATAATGTAACGAATATTAAAAGTTCCTTCCTTTACGTATCATTACTCCATTTCTTTCATTAGTAATCAAACAGTTACAACATTCCAATGAATATATTATCAACCAGTTGTTGTTTGAATATGTTGTATTCATACATTCTTCAAGGAAATTTCTAAGATGCTTCGCTAAAAGATCAAAGGCGCCGACAGTACTTTATCAGGTAACACTTTATTGACGTCACTACGCCATTCTCGTCTTTCCCCTCGTAATCAAACGTACCTTTGGTAACCGACGTCACGATGCATGTCAGTTGTCACCGCCTCATAAAGTCTCCTACAGTAAACTACTCCGTACCACCCCGTTTCCTGCTTTGCAGTGTGCTTCACTCGATTAGCATCACTGGTGGAAACATTACGTTACGCAAGCGTCCTCGTACTTTAACTATACTGAAAGGCAAAAGAGACGTCACTGGAGATTGTGATTTGAAGTACCGACTTTCATCAGAGAAGAACGTTGACAAAACAGGTTCCTGGCTTGGAGACGTCGCCAAATGGTTCGGGCACTGACTGGTCTCTGGTGGTTTCCTATGGTACCCGAGCTGTTGCTGTGGCCCTTGCGAATCGGTCTTGCAGGTGTTGATGGACGATATGACGGTCCTGGCGATGTGTTGTTACGCGGGGTCGACCACTACATGGACGGTCATCAGTGCTGTTGGTGGCGTTGTATCGTTCGTACGCTGCAATTGAAGTCATTAGCAATGGTTCGAGCACGTTGGCCAGAGAGTAGACGTCCAATGGCTTGTTGTCGTTGATCTTTCGTTCACCTAGCCATAGCTGCTGTGTTCAGAACGATTGCCATTCAAACCGGCAATTTATGCCTGAATGCATGCATGATGCATGTGCATCTTGATTTCAATGTTGTGATTGTGTGAACACTTCCCTTTCCACAAACAACAACATTTCTAACCTCAATCTCAAATAATACCTTTTTGGGCAAAACGGAATATACGACCACGATTCATGTTTTCCTCAAACTTGACTTCCGGTGTATATATTTAAAAAAATGGGTTCAAATACTCCATTGATACTTAAATGTCATTTCCAATATTACGATGTTTCTTTTGCCTTTAAGTATATAATAGTTTAGGACAAAAGTGTACTTTATTACACTGTACATGGGGATAGAGCGAACTGTATTTCTTAAATAATATTCAATATATTGTCCAGTGATGATAATTTGTAACACGATGATGCAAGGAAACGAATATTAATCAGATGGAATGATAATCATTATGAGGAATATACCATGTGTGTTTCGCAGGTCTGTAAGATGCACTGCGTCTGTCAGGACTCCCGTAACAACACCCACGCCTGCCTCCGGTACAAGAGCAACAGCGTCGACTACAAGTACTGCGAGTTTGAGGACGATGATGTAAGTGGTGTGGCCTCCCCTACCAAAATAGCCATTAGAACAAAGGTCAAACGTTTTAATCTATATTCATATTGATATTTACTTGTTGCTAACAGTCAGTGTGCATCTTTTGTGCTGTCATTTTATGTTGTGAAGATGTTTATATTAGTTCTAAATCCTGTTTGTCGTTTAACGCCACACTCAGGGATTGTCTAGCTATATAACGGCGGTCAAGTGATTGAGTGAATGAGTTTTGTTTTGCGCCGCACTAAGCGGCGGTCTGTAAGTAATCGAGTCTGGGCCAGACAATCCAGTGATCAACACTGATCAACGATCTACATCAAGTGATTGATATCATAACCATCGATCTACATATTTTGGCTATGATGACATGTGTCAAGCATGTCAGCGAGACTTACGGCACGCATGGGCTTCATGGAGCAAAAACAATACTGGTTCTGTTACCTACACTGCTCATTCCGATATGTGATTGCTAAAAGCGGTGTCAAAATAAACTCACTCACTCATTCCGAAGTTGTCATTTGGAGGAGAGGTCCAGTTTTCTTCGCAACACGTTTTCGTCTCTTCGAGTAAACCACCTTATTATTGTGTAAAAATTGTTGATGCTTATTATCATACAATATTTACTTCGACGTTTCAGAATTTCCGGGAGCTCTACGAACTGAAGCAAGACCCGTATGAGCTGACGAACGTAGTGGACCAAATAAACCCCGAGATCCTAGCTGTCCTGAAAACTAACCTGTACGACATGAAGATATGTACTGGAGACGCATGTCATGGTTCAAATTCACACCAGATTATATGACTCAGAGTCATTAGCCCATAAGTTGAGTTTGAGATACCATTAAGTTTCTTTTGACAAAAATGTACCGGTACAATTTGTAAGAATTGTAAATTTATTATATTAATAAAATGAGTTTCAGTAAGCTGTAATACCACTTATAGCAATATTGCAGCAATATCACGGCAGGGGAAATTAGATTTTGTACCCATGTTGGGAATCGAACCCGGGTTTTCGCCTGACGTCTCCAACGATTGTACCCTTACTAGACGACCACACGGGCGTTTAATGGCGTCTGAATAAATTTCCAGGGACGTTATATCGCAACATGTTGGTATGATATCAGTTGGGGAGGAAAGACTGCACGACGCAGGTATGAAACGTGAAACCCACGTCGAGTATGGTGCTGACAAACCCAAATCATAATAAACTTCAACTGAGATTCGAACCCATGATGACAGATTTCTATTATGCTTTCGTAAGGCGACTATATATGAACATCGAATAACGCCTCCTTACACTACCAGTACAGCTAGCTGCCTGGCGTTCGGCTTTAATGGGTACAAGAAGGACTGGTCGGCTCGGAGTCAGTATAATGTGTCTGAGTGGGGTATTCGTACTTCACTGCGGCATGGTATCTCAGTGGGCTAGCACTATAAAACCAGCTTCAGTCTGGGCTAGTACAAGCAGCCGCACATACACATACACACGCATGCACATCGTCATATGAGCGAAATATTCTCAAGCACGACGTTAAAACCAATTTCATCTCACCTCACCTCACCTCACCTCACCTCACCAGTACAGCATCATAGATAACTAGTCTGTCATCAAAAAATCAAAGGAGTCGTGGTTTTGAGTCTTACTTTGTGACCTTGGTCAGTTTTATGAGTTGAAACTAATATTTCTTCCCGTCTTCCCGTTTCCGTTGGGTGCTTTTTTTAGTCTTCGACCCTATCATATTTCGCTTGTTGTCCCACACCGTCTCTCAGACGTGCGTGCGTGCGTGCGTTAGTCCATTGTAAAACATTCCACAGTTAAGTAGTTTAACATCAATATCCTACTATCACAACACAGCAACTTCGACCTGACAGTCCTTCCTGGAATCTCCTATTGTCGAACACTGTGGAGGGTAAAAACAGTTGGATCGAACCACCGACCTTCCATTCCCGGCTAACACTTCTATTCTGCACCGCGTTGAAATAGAAAAGGCATATATTCCCTCGAGTCGAATCCCATCAGTATAACCATCTGTTCGTCATCAAATGATTTCATATACGTATGCCCTTATGTTCGGGGTATGTCCAATCAAATCTAGTTCACAATCTTTCGACCGCCTCCGTGGTGTAGTGGTTAGAGCGTCCGCCCGGAGAGCGGAAGGTCGCGGGTTCGATCCCCGACCGCGTCATACCAAAAGACGTTAAAATATGGTACGTGTTGGTCCCTGCCTGGCGCTCGGCTTTAATGGGTACAACAAGGACTGGTCGGCTCGGAGTCAGTATAATGTGTCTGAGTGGGGTATTCATGCTTCACTGCGGCATGTCATCTCAGTGGGCTAGCACTATAAAACCAGTTTCAGTCTGGGCTAGTACAAGCAGCCGCACATACACATACACACGCATGCACGTCGTCATATGAGTGAAATATTCTTGAGCACGACGTTAAACCCAATTTCACCTCACCTCACAATTACTTTTCATTCCTCCGCCTCTAACACGTCTAGTTATATTTGTCATCTCTATAGGCATCCGGATAGACACAGGCTTCACCTAAACAGTTGTCATGGTTCCCGAAGGAATGCTTATGGCATCAGTCATTAGTTTGCCGTTTCAGATTCGATTAGGTGATATAGATTGAATAGCGCTGCTAATGGGATTAAACAACATTTACTCAAGAAATGACCCGACGCAAATGGATTTAGGACGTGAAATAACAGAAAACACATATCAAAGTTGTTGAAGAAGACAGATGGGGGCTCATCCGTTGACATCTGTGATGGATGAGGCCTTCAGAATCCCATGCTTGTCGTGAGAGGCGACTAACGGGCTAGGAAGGTTCGCTGACTTGACTGAAACATGTCATCGTATCCTTTCGTAGCTCGATGCTGATGGTCCAGACTCGATTATTTACAGGCCGAGGCAATATAGCTGGAATAATGCTGCGTGTAGCGTTAACCCACAAACAGATCAACGCGCGGCAACTACTCTCATTTGCAAGACGTTTGCTGTTACCCATGCCATGGACAAATGCAAGTGGTGGAAATGTCAGTGAGTGAATGAGTGAGTATGGGTTTACGCCGCTTTATTTTGCCAATATTGCAGCAATATCACGGCGGGGGGCACCAGAAATTGGTTTCACACATTGTACCCATGTGGGAATAGAACCCGGGCATTCGGCGTGACGAGAGAACTCTTTAACCACTGGGCTACCCTACTGCCCCTTTGAAGTGTGATTGATATACTGAAAGTAATGTTATCCTAATGCACTTTCATGCCACTTCAAATGTTCACATAAAGACAACGCAAGGCGTAAATAATCAAACAACACTTCCCGAAGCTCTTGGTAGTTTATTCCAATAAGAAGTCGGCAAGGTCGTTGAGGTATACCTTGATTCGTTATGGCCGTATTAGATACTATTTGTGCTACAGAATAACGTATAGACTCGTTATTATAATATTTCTAATATTTATTTTTTACTTCGGACTTTTGAAATAGTCTACTATACAGACAGGCGGCCATATGGTTAATTCGTACCCATTTAGAATCGTAGGTTCTTAATATCTCATTCTACGTGATGATCCCATATCAAATATGACATAATACGCTCAAGCAAAAGTGTGTTACCCATTGTACCCTTAAAAAGAAATGTCTGAGCCTGAATTGGCGTGCTTAGTCATAATCATTACCATGACCGAATATAACACCTAAAAACATAATTTGACAAAAATAAATAAATAAATAAGGCCACATAATTAAATAATATTATGGACATATTTTTTTAGATTCTTGAACAAACTCAGTTTCCTGTCGCCATTAGTTCACGTTTTCAAACATGGGATTCATAATCAGTATCATGTTCGACTATTATTTATTGTATCCCCATTACATATCATTTCATCTTTGATAAATATGGATGCGTTTAATCGACAATGCATCATTTCCTACAGATGGAAACAAAACTGGTCCACGAAAGACGCTATGGTGCCATGCCCTTTCTTCGAGTTGCATGACATGCTGATGGTATAGCAGACCCTTGTACCCTGGATAAATGGTGACAGGGATGACAAGCTCTGCTGACGTAGATATATACTGAAACTGGTTATAATAGTGTTCGAGCAGTTAGGTTGGTCACAACATGCACGTGTATATATCCAAAAGAAGGTGATAGCATCCCGCCAGCCATATACATATTGTGGACCAGGAGGTCCAGAGATGTTGATAGCTACACCGTTCGTTAGGAGCATTCGAGAGATTAACCCTGGTTGGTTATAACTTTCGGTTGACGAAAGGCTTCACGAACAGATTCTGTTCCGGAACTTCCGGTTTCGGCCAGACATCTTCTTCCGGTTCTAGACGAATGGAAACACGAATAGGCACTTCAGGTATAGACACACGAAAGAACCAGAAATAATATCCTCATTTTCATTCTTTCGGCATTCGCTTAAAGATATATATTTCCGAAAATACTTGTAAAGGCTAATGTTAGCAAAGATAAGCTTGTTGGACAAATATAAATTTACTCGTAAAGCAGTGTTCGAACTCGCGAAAAATCCCAGAATCAGAAATTTATTTTAAGCCTTAAATTGTCTAGGATATTTTTCCATTATCTTAACGAGGATACTTTCCAAATGGAAGACAAAGTTGTTAAAGTTGTTGCTTAGATTTGTGATTGTGTCCTATGTCTCAGCATAGAATCTACGATCACTAATGACCTAATATCAAATCCTTGTCCATTAGTCATTTATTTATTGTTCGACACGAGAAGATCCAGGTTAGAATTGATCTTCAGTAACCCATGCTTGTCATAAGAGGCGACTAACGGGGTCGGGTTGTCAGGCTCGCTGACTCGTTTGACACATGTCATCGGTTCCCAATTGCCCAGATCGATGCTTATGCTGTTGATCACTGGATTGTCTGGTCCAGACTTGATTATTTACAGACATATATACAGCTGGAATATTGCTGAGTGCGGCGTAAAATTAACACTCTCACTATCTATTGTTTCATAATGTTGAAATGCGGTTATTCCCAAAACGAGGCTTATCTTGCTAATTTTAGCGTTTCTGTTTTTACACGCATGCATCTTAACTGTTAGTTGTAAAAAAAGAAATGATATTGTGGTGTATTAAGGTGACGTGTTGTAATCTGATTTAAAAAGGAGTTCAGAAAACTTTGAAATAACAAACCGGTCTTTGGAAAGGGGTAGCTTTTCCATTTCCTCCAAACGACTTGCTCTGTTTCAGGGTCGCTGATTCCTCTTTTCCAACCGGCTTGGCCTGGTCACGTGTGCTTTCTTTCACTTCTGCTTTCTTCTGGCTCACACCGAAAATGTCCTCGTGGTATCGGTTTTCATTCTGTAACAAGGAAAATATCTGAAAGTATGCTTTCATATTCATACAGCATCATACATCATTTGTCTGTGTTCGGACTTCACGGACTGCATCCGTGGTATAGTGGATAGGGCATCGTTCAGCAGAAGGCTAGTTTCGAGGTTCGAGTCTCGGTGTCGCTTCACAAAAGGACGTTGATGGTAGTTGCTGTTACCCTCTCTGACGGCAAAGGGAATAGAAGAATTACTTGTTGGCTTAAAGTCAAAATACCGTGTCTAAGTTGGGTATCACTGAAGCATGATATCTTTGGGGACTAGAAGGATAACGTGGGCACGTACGCACCGGAACATCGTTTTGAAGTTTTATTCGGTGCGTGTCAAATAGGTTAAGAGCAAATGGATGGTTCCAGGCTTATGCCCATTCTCAGTTGACGAACTCGCTACTGCCGCTAGGTATGCGAACATATTATTGGCTGCTTCCAGAGGTATACATACCTTCTGTTGACGAACATATTCTTTGGCTGTTTCCAGGCATATACATAACCTCAGTTTCCAGGCATATACATAACCTCAGTTGACGAACATAGTCTCTGGCTGCTTCCAGAGTTATACATATCACCAGTTGACGAACATAGTCTCTGGCTGCTTCCAGAGTTATACATATCACCAGTTGACGAACATAGTCTCTGGCTGCTTCCAGAGTTATACATACCCTTAGTAGACGAACATATTCACTGACTGCTTCCAGAGTTATACATACCCTCAGTTGACGAACATAGTCTCTGGCTGCTTCCAGAGTTATACATATCCACAGTTGACGAACATAGTCTCTGGCTGCTTCCAGAGTTATACATATCCACAGTTGACGAACATAGTCTCTTGCTGCTTCCAGAGTTATACATACCCTCAGTTGACGAACATAGTCTCTGACTGCTTCCAGAGTTATACATACCCTCGGTTGACGAACATAGTCTCTGACTGCTTCCAGAGTTATACATATCACCAGTTGACGAATACATAGTCTCTGGCTGCTTCCAGAGTTATACATACCCTCAGTTGACGAACATAGTCTCTGGCTCAGAGTTATACATACCCTCGGTTGACGAACATAGTCTCTGGCTGCTTCCAGAGTTATACATACCCTCAGTTGACGAACATAGTCTCTGGCTCAGAGTTATTCATACCCTCTGACTGCTTCCAGAGGTATACATACCCTCAGTTGACGAACATATTCTCTGGCTGCTTCCAGCGTCAGCTTTCCGTGTTCACTCAGAATCCGCTCCAGTGTCTGCTTGACGTTGTCGGCCATTTCCACGTCGCCGCAGATGTAGATGTGTCCGCCAGCTTTAACCATGGTGTTGTAGACGCCCTTGGCGTGCTGCTGCAGCATATCCTGGACGTACATCTGTGGAGGAGATAGAACAAGTGACTAGCCAAAAGAGAAGAGATGGAATTTTATTTTCTAAGCGTCAAGGTTTAACGTACAAATCAGAATGCAAGATGCAAACCAACAACACGACTGCCAGTCCCTCTCATATGTGAGTGAGCGAGAAATTCAGTACTGAAAAACTGGCTGATGTCATCATTTTAATTGAAAGGACGTCTTTAAACTGGCGGTGTCTTTGCATTGTAGGTAATACGAGTTATCTCCCTTAGACTTTGCTTTCTATCGACTGACTGACTGAGTTTGGTTTTACGCTGCTTTTAGCAATATTACAGCAACATCACGGCGGGGGACACCAGAAATGGGCTTCACACATTGTACCCATGTGGGGATTCGAACCCGGGACTTCGGCGTGACGAGCCAACGCTTTAACCATTAGGCTACCCCACCGCCCCTGCTTTATATCGACGATCCTATGGTGGATAATGACAAGTGCAATATTTAGGGACGAGCAGACTCAACTTTGGTCCCGACGGCATACATGCAACATATGTTGACTTGAGGTAAAATGTCAAAGGGCGTTTTCATTTCATCACATGTTTACTAAACACCATAGTGTCTTTACTGGGTTTGAAAGAACACCAACATGGGCGCCATATGGTCAGCTACTGATGATGCATACGTTGTTCACTCTTAAGACACCATCCCTCCTTACAAAACCCCGAAATAACATATGTTTAAATAGAGTATCTCGCCCAAGTGTCTTCTGATATCAAATATATCAACACAAGTTGATTAAAGTTTGCCGATGATATTTTTACTTTAATCAACGAGTGTTGATATATTTGATATCAGAAGACACGAGGGTGAGATTGTATTTATCGTACAAAATCATTCTTCATCAGTTGTCAGTAAAAGAATGTCTATCTGAACAAACAACTTCCATTAGGCTTCTTGTGACATAATCAACTTTGTGACGTCATAGCCTTGTCAGCTGTGTTTTTAGTGATGTCAAAGCATTGTGAGGTCATTAACTGACGATGTAATAGCATTGTGACAATTCAATTGTTATATCGCTTGATCTGCTGTGGGAGTAAGTTTTGGATGATACATAACAGAAATAGTGCGAAGTTAACTGCAAGCGTGGTAGCAACGAAACCGGTAACACCAGGATTTAGATTGACACAGCATGGATTAGCGTTCTTCACTGCCTACCTTGGGTCTGCCCGGTTCTCGTGACAAGGCCACGTAGTAGTCGTTAAGCACCCTCTGTTTCTTCATGGCCGTCAGCTCCGAGTGATAGATATGATCCTGGCTGGACGCCCGGCATCCAAAATACAACCTCATGTCGCCCCAGCCTTGCCGATTGGCGTCTGAAGAACATACAGAAGTTCAGTCTTAGAACATCAAGGGAATACAACCTCATATCACCCAAGCCTCGCCGATTGGCGTCTGAAGAACACATTATTTAATCTACAGTCGCAGAACATACAAGGCGTGCAACCTCATGTCAGCTCAACTTGAAGAACATCGCATATGAGGAGTGTAAATACGGTGTTCCTATTTGTTGATTGGCCTGCCAAATCTCTGCGAAAAGACTTGGAAAGCTCTGTCTCTGCCAATGGACATTGTGAGCAAAATCTCTGTCACTGGGCTTAAAAAGCCAAATCTCTGCCTATGGGCTGTGCAAGCCAAGTCTCTGTCAGTGGGCTTTGTAAGCCAAATCTACGAGAATGAAATGGATTCGACTAGATTCTAGACCTTGTTTTCAAAGACCTGGCCATTCACTTAAAGTGTGAGCTTTCCTTGTGTATGCCTCCTTTTCAACACCAATAAGACGGCCAGCACATACAGTACAGTGGCTGACTCACTGCTAGGTATATGCCCTCTGGCCATGTCCACCTGCCGCTGTTGCCAGAAGCTCCTGAAGGGGGCGATACCTGTCCCCGGCCCCACCATCATCACCGGCAGCGTCTTGTCTTCTGGGAGACGGAAGTTGGGGGCGCTGTGGCAGACACAGATGGATACAATAAAGTCATACATGCGTGCTTTGTCTTCATTGGATCAAATATTGCTAACATGTGACATATCCATGACATGTTGGAAGGGATATAATTCAGTTAGCGGAGGGATGGATATGAGATCATTGAACATCAACTGAGACTGGTAAGTTGTGGCTTAGTTAGCCCAAATGATGCACCGCGTAAACATTAACCAATGCAAACACACGAACTCGGTTGTAATGGATCATAACCATAACACCCAACCCCTGAATTCTACCCAATGATCATAAACTCCTTGTACCTTAGGGGCATATCAAGGCCAGATGTGACACCTTTAACCCATGTCATCATTAAATCGATGCATACAATGATCAACTCCACAAGTTTGAGTGCCCACTTGTTACGCATAACGATCGAATCCCAAAAGTACCCATCCCGAGATATGATGTATAATAAATGCAAAATAACCATGACAATTATAGGTGCGGATCACTGAAAACCAGTGAAGACAACGGTCATTCTCGGAAAAGCCTTGGCTTACCAATAGTACCAGACACTTACATAATTTGCGTTAAAATGTTTCTTGATAGATTTTTTGAAGGTTTTGACATACACACTTTGTTTTGTTTTGAATCCAAATCTCTGCCAATGGACTTGGCATAGATTCTAGACCAAGACTTAAAGACTGGACCATTCAACTTAAGTGTGACATTTCCAAGTATATGCTTCCTGTTGAACATGAATGAGATTATTATAATGGGATAGAAATTGTCAACATTACCTCGCTGTTTCCAAAGTATACTTGCGAATTAAAAGTTCATGAATATGAAGCAGGACTGGTGCCTAACTTTGGTCAAGGGATACATTAACACTCACGCTCTGATGGCGCATGGAATGACATCTCCGATCTTGAGTCTGTTCAACCACCCGGAACAGACACCCTCATGATTTACACCACCTGCAGATAAAAGAATAATTTGTAATAGAAAATAAACCTCTTTCTTTATCGAACACTATTTCACTATTTCGAAGGAAGAATCTATTTTTCTATTTCTCAAGTTAGTTTAGTACCTATTCTATGAAATAGTTCGGTCAAATAGTCAGTACGGTAGATCGTTTTTGAAAGTGATCATGACATTTGGTTTATATAACAGGACAGTTCATGTATATTCATCAGATCCCAGAGTAGAGTAAGAGTTTGGATGCAACATGAAATAAAGAGTAAATGCTGTATTCAGCATAAAATTCAAGATGGATTCCAAACTTTGATAACAGGTATGACGTATTAATTCATATAATTTACTGATAGATATATAGTTATTATAGAAAATAATGAATATTTATAGTTTTATCATTTGAATTCCGATTAGAACCTGGCAATTGCACGGACACCTTGGAGTTTGACAGGGTACATCTGTATGAGTGATTATTACTTTAAGCCGCATCAGGAGTATTGCAGCCGTTCGTGGCTGCTGGCATTAAAAGAGTTAATCATATATAACTGTTATAGAGCTTAGGACCGGACTGACCTTGAGTCGTGTACTTGAGCACTGCTACAGTGGCATGGACCTCTCCGGCGTTGGCATCGTTAGAGGAGCTGATACTGTAGTAGCGCTGTTTCAAGAGGGGCAGCTGCGTGAGTAGCAGTGTGGCGGGTACCCGGAGGGAGGGGAATTCCTTCAACACCTCAAGGAGAGTCGGCGCGTTCGTATCTCTCCATTCCTCGTAAACGTGAGTGTCCTTCAAGCAGATATTATTCTTCACCATAACAGTGATTTACCACATATGGTCATTAAAACGTCACCTTTCTTAATCCGAAAACAACATAACCAGAACATTCGCTGCGCATGAGACCATTTCTTGAATCTGGTTGTATCAAATTTAATGTAAATCTGTTGGTTTGAGTTTCTGTTACTGATCCCAGAGCATCCTCATTCAACAGAGCAGCATATTCCTATAATAGACTTGCTTGTTCCTTTAATAGCAGTGGGGTCTCTTGTAAAACTAATTTATTTAACCTTATCCATCCCTATATTTCGGAAATATGTGTCTATCATTTATCCACAAAGAGACACATTGTGTACGACTACAACATCATTCAAGCGCTACATCACCATGAGAAAGCTTTGAGACTCACAGTGGTCAGCAGCTCAAGCCTGTCCTTGTCCCGGTTCCGGTCGGTCAAGGTGGACAACACCTTCAAGAAGTCCTGAGTCGGGGGCGTGGTCACATCCAGGTACCGGGTGAAGGCGGTCCTCAGAGAACTCGATGGTAGCTTATCCCAGACCACGCTCTTCCCTACAGTCAATGAGTATGATTTTACGCCGCTTTTAGCAATATTCCAGCAATATCACAGAGGGGGACACCAGAAATGGGCTTCACACATTGTACCCATGTGGGGTATCGAACCTGGATGGCACGTCTTAACGGACGTCTTTCTGTGCGAATTAAAGACTACTATGCATAGTTATAACAATATCGTTCGACACCCGCACATCAGCGATATAATATACCACAAACACATCCCACTCAGCACTGGTTATATTTTGAAAAAAATAAGTTAAAATTTAAAAAAAATACAAAACAATACATTTCTCTGAAAATGAAGAGATTTGTTTAATCGGCATTAATTCTTTCTTTTGCATACTTTCTTCGCAGTAATGGTATTTCTAGGGGTGACTATTGAGGGGGAAACAACTATTGCGATAGCGATAGTCTATTGCGACCCACTATTGCAATACTATTGCAATAGTCTTTTTCTCCTTGAATTGTGGCCTTTGAAGTCATTTCCCAAATGAATGTACCGTTTATATGAAATGAAAACAAGTTGAAATAGTTTCAGTCTCTTTTAATGAGTCACAAGAAACTTGAAACCCAGATGAAGTAGTTTTTCGTTTCTACCATCGATTAATTGCTATCGGAGACTCAACAATTGCAATGCATCGATAGTTCGATGCATTGTTACATCCCTAGGTATTTCTAGCCCAATAGGACCGCGATGACTGCACGTGGAACCTTAGAACCATTGTTTATAAAGAATAAATATAATGGAAACAGTGATTCCGTTTTGTAATATTTACTCAATGAAAATTAACCATTTCATTATATGAGTGTACTTGACCAATGGATAATTAACATCAAATTTGTCGAATAGACTGTGTTAGATGTGACGAATCAATCTCTAACGTAGCTATTCGGTTACTTCGCTGATCACTTGGAACTATGGGTAGGACAGTGGTAGGAAGTAGGATTGTGTTGGATTAGTTTCGTTGATTTTCGTTGATCAACTAACATAATAGAAACATGCAATAATATAAACCTGATTATAAGTCTCGATTATAAGTTACAATCTCAGATGCAAATGCATTTTTGTTGCGACGTACCTTCCATAGTTGTCTCCTCTTTCATCTTTATCCGCATAATCTGTCCGACAGGAGGCGCGTCATGTAGGCGAGACAAGATGGCTTCCACCAGTTCCGGTGAATTTGAAGGAAATATAGCGACGTGATCACCGGGCTTGTACTTCATGGAAGTGGCTGAATTTGTTTCGATCCGGACCAAGATAGTTTGCCGCCTGGATGAAAGAACATGAGGTTACCCTCTTTCCCTCATCTGCCATTGTCATCTTAATTTTTAACGTTGAATATAGAGTGGGGTTAGAGACGGTATATGGTTTCTGTTGGGGTGTACGGATAGACTTAATTTCTTACAGTCAAAAGACCTTCTCTTTATTATATACTTTGAATAAGAAAACAAAACGCGGTGGTGTTTCTTTTTGAAAACGGGATTGGACGTTGCCAAAAGAACGTATTCATGTTCAAAGATGTGCAGATGTAAAATATGTGTCATCTTCATGATTTCAGCAGGGGCGGTGAGGTAGCCTAGTGGTTAAAGCGTTCACTCGTCACGCCAAAGACCCGGGTTCGATTCCCCACATGGGTACAATGTGTGAAGCACATTTCTGGTGTCCCCCCCTGTGATATTGCTGGAATATTGCTTAAAGCGGCGTAAAACCATACTCACTCACTCATGATTTCAGTCACCGGTTTTCCTAGTCGAGGGTATTTACAGCGTGTGTGATACAGCTGTTGCGTTAATCAGCACTCACTCACTCAGAGTGCAAAGTATTTATAAGTTGATAACTATACACGAAAACGTGTTTACAAAAACCGTCAACGCCAGAGTGAGTGAGTTTCAGATTTAAACATCAGGAAGGCTAAAGGCGTCGATAACATTACTTATATTTTTAACATCTGGTAACTCGGTCGAAAGAAATATATTTTCTTCTCAGCATTCACATTTGAACAATCAAATACAATGACACCTCATCAATCTGGACAGTGGTATTCCCATGGTAATAGCTGATTACCGAATCGTGGGTGTAGGCATGTTTATATAGACGTTCTCAGATCGTACGGAATGCGTAGAGTCCGCACTAACGAGGTGTCACTGTGAACCAAGCTAAAGTAACAGCTGGAATGTTTGAAGTTTTGTATTTCTACATACGGCGACGTCGTGGACTGCAACTGCCTCCTCTCCAGCACCCTACACGACACGACTGTCTTCTGGTGAAGGCGGCCTAAAACTGGAACCAAATGAAAAACGATGATGACGATGATGATGATTGGCTAACAGGGTTTGACTGTTTTGCATAAATATATACAAGCAGGGTTTATAGTTAATCAGTGTGAGTGAGTTAAAGGTTTACATCGCATATTGCAGCTATATCGCGATCAGGGTTTATCGACTAATGAGATTTACCCGTGAAGATCCGGGTTAGAATTTATCTTCAGTAACCCATGCTTGTCGTAAGAGGCGACAAACGGGATCGGGTGGTCAGGCTCGCTGACTTCGTTGACATATGTCATCGTATCCCAATTGCGTCGATCGATGCTCATGCTGTTGATCACTGGATTGTCTGGTCCAGTCTCGAGTATATACAGACCGCCCCCATATAGCTGGAATATTGCTGAATGCGGTGTAAAACTTAACTCACTCACTAATGAGATTTAACCGTTCTTGAAAACAAGTGAAGTCTCCGGATTGGCAAGGTTTACCTGTACACAGGTCCTCCTCCTCCCAGTCAGGCAGTTCCTCTATACTGAATTTGTCGGGCGTCCACGTGTCGTCGCTACTGGACAGGTCCCCCGCGAGGTTTGTCACGTCCATGTCGCTGTCCACATTGAACACCGCCAGGGACGCCTGCACATGTGGAAACAAACCATAGTATGATTGTGTTCAACAGACGGACTTTGGTAGTGCTGCTGTGTGACTGGTAGACATGTTCCACCAGGGAGCACAGACCTATATAAAGCATTTACTCTGACACGATGCCTATGGAAGCGTATGAGTGCCAGATTCTGACACAAATCATGATGTACCTTGACTTTCACCTGCGTAGATGATACAGATACACTTCCATAGGATGGCTCTCCCTGAGTCGTGAATTCTGACACTCCATGCTGATCGCGTTAGGTGAACTTTCTTATTTGCCAGTCTGAATAGTGGCTTCACAATTCCGACCAACATTATCTTAAGTTTGTATGCCGAAAACATACTTAAACCAGAAGTTTCGAATGTAAAAGACTTCGTAAAATTGGAAGTTGGCATTTCTGAGCACCATTGCCCCTAATGAAGGGTAACACTAAAAACAAATATGTCACTTGTTAGTTTTCTTTCAGTTGAAATTGGCCACACGACGTGGTACCGAACTTTGAGCCATTTGTGTGAGTCAGAAAACACTATCTTTTCTTCAAAAGGATCTACTAAATACAAACACCTTTTCGTCCAGTAATATGTTTTGTTGTGTAAAACCCGAGGATAGTACTTTTTCTAAGACATGTCATGTGTTTAATTATCAGTAATATGTATTCTTTAAATCCAAATGAAGTATATCAAGTGTTCGGTTCGGGTTAGTTCCACGTATTTTCAAGACATGTTCTCACCTTAAAAGCGTGATGGGCCCAGGTCTTGAAGGATTGGTCCTGTCCACTCAGTTCATCCCCCTCTCCTGTCTCCAGGATCTTCTGACCTCCCAGGTCACCCAGCAGCGAGTCCAGGAAGTGACCGAAGGCGCAGAAATGGGGGTAGGCCCTCGACCCCAGTCCAAACACTCCGTATCTTAAGAAAAATGTATGTTTAATTACTTTACTTTTAACGTGTACACATGCAAAAAAGATGCGAATCTGGTGACGTCAGATGACTGTACACGGACTGTATAGTTACTCATTAGAGCATTATTTCAAATATCATTGTAAGATAAATGACAAACAAATTTAAAGCTTGATAAAGAAGATTGTTCAGAGAGTACCTTATGTTCTGTAGCGGTTTTGAAGACGTCTTTGAAGCGTTGTTGGTGCTTGAGTTCCCCGTGCCTGTGTTGCTGCGGGTAGAGTGGGTGAGTGAGCTGGGTTTGAGTCGACTTGAACAGTATTTGAACTGTATTATTTAGAGTCAGCTTGTTTGGAAGAAAGCGAGAAATGGTGTAGGTCTTTTCCCCCCGAATATGATAATAGGTGTGTCTGCTACATATTGTAAACTTTGTGTGAAATCCACACATAGGAGAATGGGATACTGATAATTTGGAAACATTGCCTTACCTTCACATGTGTTTGTGCTGATATATGGTGCTGACAAACCAATTATCATAATCGGGGAGAATCGATGATTCGAACTAAGGATACCGATCACTGCTTGCATGTGTGATTCAACTCTTGACAAAGAATTGGGGCTCTTTAGATAATTCAGCGATCCACACCTCCTTGGTCAAGGTCAGGTCAAGTTAATGACTAGTTGAAAGTATCCCTTATGTGTCGGTTCGAGCATCAAAACGTTAAAATCGTTATTTATGATCATAGATATGAACCAGCAAAATCTTTCCCATACCCAAAAGAAATCTCTGCTGAAAACAGTGTTGATTTACGATTTACACTGTATTATGAATATGTTGCTTATATGAATCACTATCTAATTGTGCTTATACCAGCGTATATCACCCACCATAGACAACCGGTCACAAATACATGTAAAGGCAAATCAATGTATTCAAAATGCCTGTGACTTCTGTTAAATCACCATATAAATCTATTTCCTTTTGCAATTTACATTACAGTGGGCCTCAACCATTCTGTGATAAAATGGTAAATTCATCTAATCTGTTACACTTTAAAAATGCTATTACACTCCTGTTTCCCGTGCACATTTACGTTGGGCTTGAAGTGGAATACTTACGTGTTCCCCTTTTCGGAGTACCTCAGCTTGTCAAGGCTCTTTGCGAGAACCTAAAACAACAAATATATATCGAGTAAAATGAATTCTCTTATGAATTCTATCTTCTAACTAACCCGTGAAGATCCAGGTCATAATTGATCTTCAGTAACCCACGCTTGTCGTAAGAGGTGACTAACGCGATCGGGTGGTCAGACTTGCTGACTTTGTTGACACATCATCGTATCCCAACTGCGTAGATCGACGCTTATGCTGTGGATCACTGGATTGTCTGGTCCAAACTCGATTATTTGTAAAATTATTAGATAGTGATTCCCTGACCGCCTCGATTAGCTGGAATGTTGCTGAGTGTGGCGTAAAACGTCACTCACTCACTCACCCTTCTTACTATGTAGTAAATGTCAAATTTTGAAAACAATTATTTTTCTCCTGATCGTGTATGTAAATATATTTAATGAAAATATATTTATCAATATGTCACTATAGGAAGGGGGGAGATCATACATAAATATCAACTTCTTTTATATCAACCTCTTGAGAGATCATATATATGCAATAGAATCTTTCCGAGGACGAATAAGGGAAAAATGATTAGAAATGGAGGCTTAGCCCAAGCCAACCTCGCCATTCTCCGGGCCGTCGCCGTTGCCGAAGGTGCTGGTGACGACGAGGATGAGGTCCTGCTGCTGCAACTCAGTCAAGTCGATGTCCTCCATGCACACGACCTGTTGGGAAGATGGCGGAGATGAGACTATAGTCTTCTTTTGGTTGTAAACGTATGTTTGAATGTCTGACTCGCCCTAACACCACAATCTTACCCTGGTAGTAAACGTTCTCTTGAATGTCTGACACAACCGTCTTACGTCCTGACACTTCAATCTTAGCCTGGTAGTAAACGTTCTCTTGAATGTCTGTCACACCGTCTGACGTCCTGACACTTCAATCTTAGACTGGTAGTAAAGACTCGCTTGAGTGTCTGACACACCGTCTGGCGCCCTGACACAAAATCTTACCCTGGTAGTAAACGCTCGCTTGAGTGTCTGACACACCGTCTGGCGCCCTGACACAAAATCTTACCCTGGTAGTAAACGCTCGCTTGAATGTCTGACACACCGTCTGGCGCCCTGACACAAAATCTTACCCTGGTAGTACACGCTCGCTTGAATGTCTGACACAATCATCTGGCGCCCTGACACAAAATCTTACCCTGGTAGTAAACGCTCGCTTGAATGTCTGACACAACCGTCTGGCGCCCAAACACTACAATCTTACCCTGATAGTAAACGCCCGCTTGAAAGTCTGACACAACCGTCTGGCGCCCAAACACTACAATCTTACCCTGATAGTAAACGCCCGCTTGAATGTCTGACACAATCATCTGGCGCCCAAACACTACAATCTTACCCTGATAGTAAACGCCCGCTTGAATGTCTGACACAACCGTCTGGCGCCCAAACACTACAATCTTACCCTGAGAGTAAACGCCCGCTTGAATGTCTGACACACCGTCTGGCGCCCAAACACTACAATCTTACCCTGATAGTAAACAGCCGCTTGAATGTCTGACACACCGTCTGGCGCCCTGACACAAAATCTTACCCTGGTAGTAAATGCTCGCTTGAATGTCTGACACAACCGTCTGGCGAAACGCTCTGATCGACCGGTCTCCGTGGCGTACAAGATGACACAGTTGACGTGGCTGGCCACTGCCTTAGTCTGAGCTTTGGTCAGACTGTGGACAAAGTGGTCAACTGTCAAACACAATATACTAGTACATCATGCCTTTCTTTGTTTAGTTTGATAAAAACCTGCTCCCAGGTTAGTATTAAAAGAACGTAGAATAATATGTTCAAGCACCATAATAGAAACGTGGCACATCTCTAAGTCTCTAACATCTCTTCGGTCTTTCCGCCTGCGTTACGAAATACTCTCGAAATCGACGTTAAACTCTCTGGGTTAGAACTTTTTTAAGCACTCATGCTTGTCGTACGAAGCGACTAAAGGGATGTGTGGTCAGACTCGATGACTTCCTTGATACAGGTCATCGTATCCCAGTTGCGTGGATCGATGTTAATGATGTCATTCAATGATCGATGTTAATGATGTCATTCAATGATCGATGTTCACGATGCCATTCAATGATCGATGTTCATAATGTCATTCAATGATCGATGTTCATGATGCCATTCAATGATCGATGTTAATGATGTCATTTAATGATGTTCATGATCTCTGGTCCAGATTCGATTATTTAGAGCCCACTGTCATATAGCTGGATTATTACTGACTGCAGAGTTAAACAAACCGTCAGACAGACAGACAAACAAACAAAAACCGTTAAGCCCAACTCCCTTCCTCGTGTGTTTGGTTTGGCATTTATAACTGGTTCCTTCGAGGTACATGACTTGTAAAGGTGACATTTGAAATAGTGAATTTTCGCGTGTTGTTCGTGTTCAGATGCTTTGTGATCTGCAACAGATGATGTATGTGGTGTGACCTTTGTTGTTGAGTTGGTATAGGTAGGGTGTAAGTGACATATAAGAGGCAGTCTGGGACACACTCACCTCTTCCTGGAAGTCTGCAAGTACCTTTGTTCCATCTCCTTGTTCTTCCAGACATGAACCTTCCATGCATCCTCCTGGAATACCCATGTATAGCGTCATGCATCGGAGAGGTGGATAGAATTAAAGAAACATACATACGCACGCACGCAGTCGCACACGCACACACATACGCACACACACGGAATAAGGCAACGTACACATAGAGGTTCATTCACTGGAAAACAAGTTAAACTGGCAGACATACCCACACACGTAATATGCCAACACACACATTGATGTTCATACACTGGTAATCCGTGAAGATCCCAATTAAAACTGATCTTCAGTAACCCTTGCTTCTCGAAGAGGCGACTAACGGGATCGAGTGGTCAGGCTCGCTGACTTGGTTGACACATGTCATCATATCCCAATTGCGTAGATCGATGCTCATGCTGTTGATCACTGGATTGTCTGGTCCTGACTGGATTATTTACAGACCGTCGCCATATAGCTAAAATATTGCTGGGCGTGGCGTAAAACTAAACTCAAATACACATACTCTGGTGACAGGTAAAACTGGGACATACACACGCGTAGACAATCCCACAGTGGACAGAGTCTAACAGGACCACACAAACAGAAAATAGAAAATGATCAAACATTTTGAAAAAGGGATCTCCCTATTCTTCGAAAACATCAGATGCTGATGGTTTAACAACAAATGGCACAGTCTTTACAACAAAATGCATGGATCTCGCTGTGACATGAATCGCTACCTGGTACTCATAGGAAGGCTTGAGCTTGTAGACCATCATCTCTTGGTGAAACACCTCCGTCTGACTACCGCTCATCGGGGGCACCACCCACACCCAGTCAGCGGGGCACCCCCCTCGCAGGCGCTGTTCGTTCTGCATGTGTTGGATGAAGGATTCGGACGCAGTGTGGTGGTCAACAATCGTCGCACCTGCTAACTGTCAACAAGAGTAGACGTCAAAGATGGTACAATTTGACCTACAGATCCATAACTCCTTGCAAGGTGGGCTAGATTTTATGTTTTACATATTGTGGCTGCTATGGGCTGAAGAAAGACTACATTTAGGTATGCCTCTACGAACGTAACGTGTATTTATTCATTTATAGCTATGCATACATTTTAATAATGATTAATTTATATATAGAACATTTATGTAAAAAATAGATAATACGTAGCAGTCAAGAATTATGAGTGAGTGCGTGTCTTTTTACGCCGCTTTTAGCTATATTCCAACAATATGACGGCGGGGGACACCGGAAATGGATTTCACACACTGTACCCGTATGGGTATCGAACCCGGGTCTTCGGCGTGACGAACAAACGCTTCAACCACTAGGCTATACCACTATCCGAAGAATTAGGAAAAGATATAGTGTATATGAAAACATTGAGAAGAAATAATATGTCACATAGCGTTGATGTTATTGGTTTGATTATTTGAATTCATATTGGTTACAATAAGTGTGTTAATGGAGAACATAAAGAAGCAGGTATGATTTACTCAAAGATCTTGTCGAATTGTAAAGTCACAGAAAACGTTGAATATAGGTAGGAAGTTTTCCAAAATGGAAACTAAACTCTTTAAAAAGTAGGGGAACCTGAACTTTCAATTCAGATAGGAAGTATAAACGTAAAACAACAAACGTTTCAAAGACAGACATCGTATGAACGCTCCACCATTTCTGTTTATCACCATCCCTAAACGCAACGCAGGGGATGCACGTGCACAACCCAGTAGCCCCATACACGTGCATGGGGTGTCATTCTTGATTTGGACGGTTTTCTAGAAGGTCGATAAATCACTGTAGACCATCAATTTTGACAATCATCTTGTATCACACAGTTGTTAGTGTTTGTTTCTAGCCGGGGTTTTTTTGTTTGAAAATGACAATCGTACACATGGAAATTTCACGTCATACACCAATCATCTTTCAAGAGCGATTACTGTACAAACAACTATGGTCATAAGGAAGTGCAAGTGGTGATGCACTCTCAAAACATTCATTATTATCATATCAATATTGATCGACTCAGATATATCTCCCAATGTTTTCAATCGTAAACTTAACATAAAGTTCCTAACTTATTTTACGAATATATATGGATAAAAACTTTAAAAAACACATGGCATGGTACACATGAAACACAAAGTCTGAACATGACATGTACCTGGAAGCTGTGTAGTACAGCAACGTTGACCTCCACAAGGGCTCGGTCACGCCACAGGGAGGAGTTCGCCCCAGTGTTCAGTCCCATCTTGAGGGCAACTCGCTGATATTTGAAAAACAGGAGAAAATACATCGTTATCTTGCAGTTGGTATGCAAACAATGTAAATACAACTCAACCTATACCAATGCAAGATTCTCGTAATCAGAACATCGGAGGCAATGATATTTTATATCCATACCGAAGTTTATTTGTGTTTGTAATTGAATCTGGACCAGACAATCCTGTGATCAATATCATGAGCGCTGGTGGTAATACGATGACGTGTGATCCAAGTCAGCGAGCCTGATCGCCAGCGATCATACGTCGTCTCTTACGACAAGTATGGGTTGCTGATTAAAAATTCTAACGGGATGACACATGTCATCGTATCCCAGATGCGTAGATCGATACTCATGCAATTGATCACTGGACTGTCTGGTCCAGACCGCCGTCACACAGCTGCAATAGTGCTGAGTGTGGCGTAAAACAACAAGGAATCAATCAAGCAGGTCTCTTTGATGAGCCTTTATGCCTTTGAATCGACCAGCATCAGAAAGTCCATGCAAAAAGTAGGGTTTGATAGTGTACCGTAAAGGTCAGTGAAATAATACCAGGACCTACAGATATCGTTTCCATCAGTTCAAGAGAAATAATTTCTGGGTGGACTGTAATGACTTTGTATTACACGGCGTTTGTATTGTGTGCTATTGTATTGAACACGGTCCGAAAAGTACCTCCAGGGCGCATTTTATCTAACGCCGTCAGAAAAATAACTGCAGCGCATATTTTATGTTATCGCATTACAAGGCGTCAGAGCACCGCCAGAAATATACCCGCAGAGCGTACATGTATGATATTATATTGAAAAATAACTTTGTAGCGAGTGGGTGAATTTCGTTTTACGCCGCACCCAGCAATATTCTAGCTAAATATTAGAGTCTGGACCAGACAATCCAGTGATCAGCAGCATGAACATCGACCTACGCAATTGGGATACGATGACATGTGTCAACCAAGTCAGTGAGCCTGACCACCCCGTCCCGTTAGTCGGCTCTTACGACAAGCATGGGTTACTGAAGACCAGTTCTAACACGGATCTTCACGGGTAAGTAGACATGGGAATGGTGTATAATGATGTAGTACATGTAGAAAGCAGTACGTCGTTTTGCTGCAAAGATGTCCCCGTTACAATATAGCTGAAATAACGCCGATGTGACGTTAAGTTTTTGCTCACTCGCTCTAGTGCATACCTCAATGACGTTGTACCTAGCTGCATCACAGAAGTCCCTGGCCCCTATCTCCGTCCCCATGTACCAGCCGTTGAAGGGGGCTGCCGTGAACTCCAAGCCCCCACAGTCGAACAGCATCGCCGAGACGGCCGGCACAGCGAACCACTTCAGTCCAAGCCCCTCAAACCACGGGTATCTGGTTTTAATCAAAACGGTCATTATACCTGTGTCAGTGTTTTACTACGTCTTTTTTGTTGTCTCACTCTTTTATCCCAAACCAATGGTAGAACCTATTTAGGAACAAACTGACTTAGAGCTGAAAAGTATTAATAAATCTATTGTTATTTCAAAATCCCAACAAAATTTAAAGTGTGAGTAAATATGGTTTTACGCCGATTTTAGCAATATTCCAGCAACATGGCGGCAGCAGAAATGGGCTTTACACATGGTACCCATGTGGGGAATCGAACCCGGGTCTTCGGTGTGACGAGTGAACGCATTAACCACTAGGCTACCCCATCTCCCCGAAATAATGAAGTACAATGTCAATAAATGCATCGGAAGTGGTTGTAGATTTTATCACAAACGCAAAACAACAACTCAAAGGCGTAGAAAGATAATACCATATAAGTATTTGATTTTATGAAGAATTTTAGTTTTAGATAATGATAACTACTTATTGATGTCATTTACGACACATCATTGTTCTATGTTCTATGCTGTCATGGGAGGTCTACACACTGTGGGTGGTTGATCTCCACCTCCAGCACCAGGTCCTCTGGAAGCTCGTACAGGTCAGGGTCGCCGTCTCCCGCAGACAGAACCAGGGGAAGCACATCAAACATCCCGCCCCTGCCATTCCATCCAAGCGCCTCGCATACCTGGCAACACAGGGTAAGGCAGCACTGGGTGAGGAAACAAGGCTGGTGTGTGGCAAGACAAGGTAAGGCCATATGGCAAGAGTGAGGCAACATGCGGTAAGGCAACATGGCTAGGGTAAGGCAACATGGCAAGGGTAAGGCAACATGGCAAGGGTAAGGCAATATGGCAAGGGTAAGGCAACATGGCTAGGGTAAGGCAACATGGCTAGGGTAAGGCAGCATGGCAAGGGTAAGGCAACATGGCTAGGGTAAGGCAACATGGCAAGGGTAAGGCAACATGGCAAGGGTAAGGCAACATGGCTAGGGGGTAGGCAAGGCAACATGGCTAGGGTGGGCAAAGCCAGGGGTAAGGCAACATGGCTAGGGTAAGGCAACATGGCAAGGGGTAAGGCAACATGGCAAGGGTAAAGGCAACATGGCTAGGGTAAGGCAACATGGCAAGGGTAAGGCAACATGGCTAGGGTGGCAACATGGCTGGGGGCAACAGTGCAAGGTAAGGCAACATGGCTGGGGTAAAGGCAACATGGCAAGGTAACATTATAGCTAGGCAACATGGCTAAGTGAGGCAACATGGCAAGGGGCAGGGTAAGGCAACATGGCAGGTAAGACAACATGGCTAGGGTAAGGACATGGCTGGGGTAAGGCAACATGGCTGGGATTAAAGGCAACATGGCTAGGAGTAAAGACAACATGGCTAGGGTAAAGGCAACATGGTAGAGGTTAAAGGCAACATGGCAGGGGTAAGGCAACATGGCTAGGAATTAAGGCAACATGGCTAGGAGTAAATTAGAACAACATGGCTAGGGTAAAGACAACATGGCTAGATAAAGGCAACATGGCTAAGGGTAAAGACAGGGCAACATGTGGGAAAGACAACATGGCTAGGGTAAAGGCAACATGGCTATGAGGGCAACATAGAGGGTAAAGGCAACATGGGAGTAGGGCAATGGGGGTAGAGGCATGGCTGAGGAGGCAACATGGCAAGGGGGAAGGCAACATGGCTGGGAGTAAGGCAACATGGCTAAGGGGTAAGGCAACATGGCTAGAGGGTGAGGCAACATGGCTGGGGTAAGGCAACATGGCTGGGGTGAGGCAACATGTGGCTAGGCAACATGGCTAGGGATAAGGCAAACACACATGGCAAGGTAAGGCAACATGGCTAGGGTAAAGCAACATGGCTGGGCAATATGGGTAAGGCAACATGGCTAGGGTAAAGACAACATGGCTAGGGTAAGGCAACATGGCTAAGGGTAAGGCAACATGGCTGGGGATGGGCAACATGGCTAGGGTGAGCAGGCAACATGGCTGGGGTAAAGGCAACATGGCTAGGGTAAAGGCAACATGGCTAGGATGGTGGGCAAGGCAACATGGCAAAGGGTAAAGACAACATGGCATGGGTAGGGAAGGCAACATGGCTGGGGTAAAGGCAACATGGCTAGGGGTAAGGCAACATGGCTAGGAGTAAAGGGCAACATGGCAGGGTGAGGCAACATGGCTGGGAGTAGAGGCAACATGGCTAGGGGTGGGCAACATGGCTAAGAATTACAAGGCAAGGGCAACATGGCAAGGGAAGGCAACATGGCTAGGAGTAAAGGCAACATGGCTAGGGTACAAGACAACATGGCTAGGGTAAAGGCAATGGGGCAACATGGCTGGGGTAAAAGACATGGCTGGCTAGTGGGTAAAGGACAACATGCAAGGGTAGAATTAAGGCAACATGGCTGGGAGAGGCAACATGGCTAGGATTAAGGCAACATGGCTAGGGTGTAAGGCAACATGGCTGGGGTAAAGACAAGGCAACATGGCTAAGGGAAGGCAACATGGCTAGGGTAAAAGGCAACATGGCTAGGGTAGGAGGCAACATGGCAGGGTAAGGCAACATGGCTAAAGGCAACATGGCTAGGGTTAAGGCAACATGGCTAGGGTAAAGGCAACATGACAACATGGCTAGGGTAAGTAAAGGAGGCAACATAGCTAGGGTAAAGGCAACATGGCTAGGGTAAAGGCAACATGGCTGGGGTAAAGGCAACATGGCAAGGGTAAAGAACAACAACATGGCAAAGGAGGTAAGGCAACATGGCTAGAGGTAAAGAGCAACATGGCAGGGTAAAGGCAACATGGCAGGATAAGGCAACATGGCTGGGAGTGGGGCAACATGGCTAAGTGCAAAGGGAAAAGGCAACATGTGGCTAAGATAAAGCAACATGGCTAGAAGTAAAGGCAACATGGCAAGGAGTAAGGCAACATGGCTAGGATAAGGCAACATGGCTAAGTAAGGCAAGACAAGGCAACATGGCAAGTAAGAGCAACATGTGCGGCAAAGGGTAAGGCAACATGGCTAGGGTAAGGCAACATGGCAAGGGTAAGGCAACATGGCTAGGGTAAGGCAGTATACAGCACAACGTAAGGCCTGGTTTTAATGGAGAGGATGGGGAAACATGGCCGGCGTGTTGCTAGACACGGTTAGGTATGGTGACCAGAGTAAGAAAACATATTGTAAACCATAATGCCAAGTTTGAGGCAACAGATAGTAAGGCATTTTGGCTATGGTGGTGCAACACTTGATTAAAGATAATGACGAGGGTGATTCACGATCAAATGGCCAGGGTGAGGCAAGACATGGTGAGACGAAATGGATAGGGTGAGGCACGACATAGTAAGACAAAATGACCAGGGTAAGGCAACATGGCAAGGGTAAGGCAACATGGCTAGGGTAAGGCAACACATGGTAAGACAAAATGGCTAAGGAAGGCAACACGTGGTAGGACAAAATGGCTAAGGGAGGCTACACGTGGTAAGACAAAATGGCTAGGGGGAGGCAACACATGGTAAGACAAAATGGCTAGGGGGAGGCAACACGTGGTAGGACAAAATGGCTAAGGGAGGCAACACATGGTAAGACAAAATGGCTAGGGGGAGGCAACACATGGTAAGACAAAATGGCTAAGGGAGGCAACACATGGTAAGACAAAATGGCTAAGGGAGGCAACACATGGTAAGACAAAATGGCTAAGGGAGGCAACACATGGTAAGACAAAATGGCCAGAGTGAGGCCACACATGGTAAGACAAAATGGCTAAGGAAGGCAACACGTGGTAGGACAAAATGGCTAAGGGAGGCTACACGTGGTAAGACAAAATGGCTAGGGGGAGGCAACACATGGTAAGACAAAATGGCTAGGGGGAGGCAACACGTGGTAGGACAAAATGGCTAAGGGAGGCAACACATGGTAAGACAAAATGGCTAGGGGAGGCAACACATGGTAAGACAAAATGGCTAAGGGAGGCAACACATGGTAAGACAAAATGGCTAAGGGAGGCAACACATGGTAAGACAAAATGGCTAGGGGGAGGCAACACATGGTAAGACAAAATGGCTAAGGGAGGCAACACATGGTAAGACAAAATGGCTAAGGGAGGCAACACATGGTAAGACAAAATGGCTAAGGGAGGCAACACATGGTAAGACAAAATGGCTAGGGGGAGGTAACACATGGTAAGACAAAATGGCCAGAGTGAGGCCACACATGGTAAGACAAAATGGCTAAGGGGAGGTAACACATGGTAAGACAAAATGGCTAGGGTGAGGCAACACATGGTAAGACAAAATGGCTAGGGTGAGACAACACATGGTAAGACAAAATGGCTAGGGTGAGGCAACACATGGTAAGACAAAATGGCTAGGGTGAGGCAACACATGGTAAGACAAAAGGGACAGGGTAAGGCAACACATGGTAAGTCACAATGGCCGAGTTAAAGCAATAGGACAAAGGTGAAATAACAGAAGGAAAACATAGTGCCACAACAAAACAAAATATCAACCAACCTCCGTAAACTCCACGTTGGCGGGGTCGCCGACAACGTCACCGTCAGACTGACGGTAACCGGCGTACCGGATCAGCTGAGTGTTCCATACCCGGAAGTCCTGTCTCCCGGAAGTGCGCGGTGGAAACACGGTGATAGCAGACCTGAAAGTGGTGATACTGGTGTCTGAAGTGGGTCCTTTATTCTGACCATCATATATAAGAACTACACTGCGATGGTAAGTAATTCTGGAGGCCATGTACGTATTTACCTGATGTTGCCATTGTTTGTGCTGTATTCAAGGTGTCTACAAATGGCTTCGAACATCTCCTTGGTCGTTTTAACGTGACGAGCATCAAACACCTATAAACAAGCAAATCAATAGACATAAACGATAAATAAAGATGTGAATGAGTGACTTGATGAGTGAATGAGTGGATGAGTGAGTGAATGGATGAGTGAGTGAGTGAATGGATGAGTGAGTGAGTGAGTGGATGAGTGAGTGAGTGAATGAGTGAGTGGGTGGGTGGGTGGATGAGTTAGTGAGTGAGTGAGCGAGTGAGTGGGCGGGTGAGTGAGTGCCTGTTAAGTCACGATCTGTAACATAACCCATCCCTCGTGATTTGTATGCATTCTACCTGGATTAAAAAGGACGTTAAGCGCAATTGTAACCCGTGAAGTGTGTTTTGGGGTTTGAAACGTAAATGCTTTACACATTGGTCATTATATATATATAATTGAACCCATTTAAAAACATTAACTTCAATGTGGTCTTTTGAAGGGGGGAGGGGGTGGTTCCCCCTGAACACCCCCCTCTGGATCCGCCAATGCCATCGGTTCCCAATTGCACAGATCGATGCTCATGTTGTTGATCACTGGATTGTCTGGTCCAGACTTGAGTATTTACAAACCGCCGCCTTATAGCTGGAATATTACTGAGTGCGGCGTAAAACTAAACTCACTCACTTACTCATCATTGGTAACGTGTTTCCAGTTCTTGTTAATCACGGCCGTTACCAAGTTACTGGTTACAAGAACATCTCACTCACTCACTCACACAATATTGGTAAACATCCCATAGAGCTTCCTGGTTAGAATCGCTATCTACAACCTTGAATTGGCAAGTGTAATTGATCGGCGGTTTGGGTTTTCATTTACATCTCGTGTCTCAGACATTTCACCTTCAGTTTTGACCACTGGATTCGTCCAATACACCGCGGCGCGTTCCTCCATGCTGTCTTCACACCGAAGGTCAGCTCATCCAAGGTCAGGTCATAGGTCCCGGATGTAGTAATGGCGTCTACAACTTCTGTCCATCGGTTTTTGTGATCCTCAGTGTCAGAGCTGATGAATGCAGAAAACAAAGAAATAAACTCTGCTGCTCGCATTTCGTTAAAATCTACCAGGTCATCAGAATCCCGCTAGAATTGACGGGGAATCAGAAAATAATGTCAAGTAGACACTGTTCCATGTTTTGGATACCTCTTATGCAGGATTTCAAATGAATATCTTCAAATAAATTTGTCGTTAAATTTGAATTGATATAGAAACCCTTTAAGCCAGACTTATGAGCAGTTTAGCCGAACGATGGTTCCCAGTTCAACGAGGTTTCAACCCGTGAAGGTTACTGAAGCATTGATCTTCATGCTTGGCGATTTTTTTACACATGTATCCAAACCCTTGAAGAAATAGTTCTCAAAGTATTCCTTAAAATATTACAACAAATTCGTCAATAGGTTTGAAACTGCTCAGAAGACCACACCCGTGAAGATCCGGCTTATCTTTATCTACTCGTTCTTGTCGTTAGAGGCGACTAACGGGATCGGGTGGTCAGGCTCGCTGACTGTGTTGACACATGTCATCGTA